GGACTAGAACATACAGTCTCCTGGTGATTGGCCCAAAGTCACCCAGCCGACTTTCGTGAGTAAGGTGGGACTAGAACCTAATGTAACTGAATGTAAAAAAACAAAATAATAGTTAGATGAGACCTGGGAGGCCTTCTAGTCCAAACCCCTGCTCAGATAGGAAACCCTACACCAGTGATGGCTTTTCCTAGTCGCATGCCAAAAGTGTGCATGCGCGTATGTGGGCCTGGATCCATAATGCAATGCGTGCGTGACCCCCCCCCCCAGCGCTGCACACCTCTGTCATGTTCACGTGTCTCCTCTCCATGCATGCGCTGCAGATACCCGACAATCAGATGGCTGGTGGGAGGCACACACACATGCACAGTGGGTCTGTTCCAGGTGACGGCTTACATGCCGGCAGAAATGGCTCTGCATGCCACTTCCGGCACACATGCCATAGGTTGCCATCACAGCCCTACACCATTTCAAACAATCTCTTCTTAAAAGCCTACATTGTTGGAGCATTTGAAACTCCTTTGAGGCAAGTGATTCCACTGGTTAATTGTTCTCACTGTCAGGAACTTTCTCCTTAGCTCTAGGTTGCTTCTCATCTTAATTAGTTTCCATTCATCTTAATTAGTTTCCATTCATTGCTTCTTAATTACTAGACCAAACTGGCTTTCCACATTACTTTTCAGAAAGTGTGTAAGTATAAGGTATTTACTTGCCTGCAATGACTGAACAACTCCAGTACTACAGTAACATTACCCTGGATAATTTACCTTCTACTCAACTCATATGAAGTAAACAGCTTGGCAATGTTTCCCAATTTATTTAAGGCTCTTGAAAGACGAGAGAAAGATGCCCGTATAAAATAAAGGACACTGTTTCTTGCCTATCAATTCTGGTGAAATTGCTTCATTTGTACTTACAGTGATCTCTTCCCTGTGGGAAAAAAACAACGGAAAGATGCAAATCAGGCTGAATAATTCTTCGTTTTGTCTGGTTGCTCCTCCATCCCCCAACACCCTAAGCTGCTTCCTAGCTTCCTCCCCACTGTCAGCATTTTAGTGGGATTGTTTTTAATCTAAGGAGCCTTGTCTGCCAGTTTAAAGAACAGCATTCCTCTGGGGAACTTGAACCCATGCCTTGCTCACTAAACTCCAACAGGATGCACTCTGTACCCCCCTTCCCTCTAGTACATAATGTATGATATCTCCCACTAACATGCCTTTTAAAAGACAAAACTACTCACTCTTCTGCCATCTTGTAAAAGCAACCTTCAGGTCCACTGGAATGAGAGAAGGGGAGAAAACAAGAAAAATACATTATTCATAACTCTTGTCTCTGTCATCTCTCTCTCTCCCAATCATCTTAAATACATAAGCATACACGTACGCACTGTTATATATAATAATATGCATCTTCAATATCTAACCTATAGGGAGCCATTTTGGTGTAGTCATTAAAAACATCAGGGTAGAAACTGGGAGGCCAGGAGTTCTTGCTCTATCTGAGGCACAAAGCCAGTTGGATGATCTTGGGCCAGTTACTTTCTCTCAATCCTAAGAAAGAGGCAATGGCAAACTAATGATTAAAAAAAAAATGTGGAGAAAACTGCAGGGATTTTCTTCAGGCAGTTTCCAAGAGTCAGACATGATTAAAAAGAAGAAAAAAACATCTATCCTGCGTCTAGGTCTCTATCTTTTATTCCTCTCTCTCTCTTTCTCTCTCTCTCTCTCTCTTTCCTCTCCCCTCTCCCTCTCTCTCTTTCCTCTCCCTCTCTGTCCCTTCCACTCCCTCCCTTCCTCCCCCCCTCTTTCTTTCTCTTTCTTTCCTCCCTAAATCACTCCGTTCCTTCCTTCTTTCTCTTATCTATCTACAGGTAGTGTTTGACTTACAACAATTCATTTAGTAACTGTTTGAAGTTACAACAACACTGAAAAAAGTGACACGAGATGTTTTTCATGTCTATGACCATTGTAGCATCGCAATGGTCACATAAATCAGCTGCTTGGCAGCTGACTCATATTTATGATGGTTGCAGTGTTCCAGGGGTCATGCGATCCCCTTTTGCGACCTTCTGAAAAGCAAAGTCAATGGGGAATCCAGATTCACTTAATAGCTATATTACTAACTTAACAATTGCAATGATTCATTTAACAACTGTGGCAAGAAAGGTAATAAAATAGGAAAAAAACTCATTTAACAAATGTCTTACTTAGCAACAGAAATTTTGGGTTCTATTGTGGTTGTAAGTCGAGGACTACCTACACTTTTCTGTTATAGACCAAAAGCTTCTTTCTAATAATAGCATCTTAAAGAGCACCAGTAACACCAGTCATGCTTATCCTTTGTGACTCTCCTTGGATGTCCAGGCAACCTCAGAAATGTTTGCCCTTTGTGAGTGGATGCACCTGTCTATGTGTCTGAATAGCAGAGAAGAAAGCAGCATTTAAAACAAGTTGTGGCAGGTTTTAAGGCAGGCCTAAAAGCAAGCCCTGTCCTTTTGATGTCATTTCAGGCTATTAGGATCATAATCCTGAATATCACACCTGTAACTGCCAATTGGGAGGCAGGGTTGGTGGGAAGGCAATCCACTTTTGACATTCTGTAGGTCTATGGTATGTGAAATACGTATTTATTTGAAGTAATTTATTTTGCTGTTTTACCTCCCCTTCCTCCCTCATCCTCCAAAAAGACTGGCAGAGTTCTTACATAAGAACAGGAGGGAACATTATCCTTTAAGCCTTTTGTTATCACCTTTCAAAGCAAGCTTCTTCAATGTATTTTGGTGTATTTCTATATATGTGTATGTAGGCACGGGTACCCTGGTTGCATTGCTACAATATGCTCACCCAGAAGTAAACCAATACAATTTTAGCTTAAGGTGATATGTGAATTCAGCCAAGAAATAATCTTACATCAGCAGGAATCTCTCCACCAGTCTACCTCATAGGTTGAAGTGATGATTTTATGTGATTATATATGAATAAATGAATGTTCAAATTGAAATGGCCCCTGGTAAAATCTCTCACAAAAATATTGCTAATGATTATTTAGTATGCATTTGCTTCTTCTTACAGACTCACACATCACATTATGACTTGATTTTATAATGTCTGAGCAATATTTAAAGAATTGTACATACCATAAACACGCCACAAAAATGAACAAATTCACTATCATTGGACCATATTTCCTGCATGTCTGCTTAAAATGTTTTAAGGAAGGCTCTCCAAACTTGGCAACTTTAAGACTTGTGGACTTCCAACTCCCAGAATTCCCCAGCCAGCCAGCTAATTTTTGTAGTGTGTTTATGGTATGTACAACTCTTTAAATTAAAATACTGAACAGCTCAGACATTATCAAATCAAGTCATAATGTGATGTGTGACCCTGTAAGAAGAAACAAATGCATATTAAACAATTAATAGCAATATTTTTGTGAGAGATTACCAGAGGCCACTTCAATTTAAACATTTATTTATTTGTGTATAATCATATAAAATCATTCCTTCAACTTCAACCTATGCAAAACATATGAGGTACACTGGTAGAGAGATTCCTGCTGATGTAAGATTATCTTGTGGATGAATTCACATATCACCTTAAACTAAATTTTGGTTTATTTACTTCTGGGTGAACATGCCTGGCTGGTTGGGGAATTCTGGGAGTTGAAGTCCACAAGTCTTAAAAGTTGACAAGTTTGGAAACCCCTGTGTTAGGGGGACAGTTATTGTGTGGTGAGAACTGATTTATGCCTGCGTAACTTATTATGGCTTGGAACTTTAAAAGAACACCGGATCACCTCACATCATCACACACAAAAGACCAAGAGCAAAATCGCTCTGGCTGTAATCAAGAAATTAACTTGTTGTTGTTTTCCAAGTTCAGATTGTGCTTCTCACTCAGGCCCACCAGCAGCCAAGCAATGGCCTTTCTGGAAACTCACATTTGCCCAGACCTTGTATGAGACATCCCGTTATCACTGGAGTAATTTGGGCTGCTAAATTTATGCCGTCTTATCGCTTCAAAAATGGGGCCAGGTCGTTCCACAGGGAAGAGGCAGTGAGCTTTGCAGGCAAAGCACGTGCTCCAAAACCAACAGCAGATGGAAGACTGCTTGTTCGCTCAACTTGATATGGCGTGTGTGCGTGCATGCAGCCACGCAACCGTTTTTAAGGAAAGATGGATTGAGGCTAAATTCACGTCTCTGATTATTTTAAAGCAAGGCTTTTTAAAATAAGATCTCTCTCTCTCTCTCTCAAAGATGATAGTTGGAAGCTGGGCAGAGGGAAGGGGTACAGGCAGAAATCCAGTGAGTGAAAAACAAAAATTACGGAGGCAGCCCTCCCCTTTCTTGGGAGCCTTTATTCTTAGCGTGAGGTGTGAAACGAATCCTTCAGCACTCTTGCAAGAGACATCTGCTGTGAGACTCAGAAATAAAGCCGGAAGGGCCCTGCCCAGCGCTGCTAAGCTGTCTCAAACCTTTGTTATCTCTCTCTTATTCTCTGGCTGATGAAAAGAACAGCACTGCCAATGCTTGTTTGGGCTGAGCCAGTTTGATTCAATGGTTAGGGACTGGGGGGAACCGGAGTCCTAGTCCTATTTTAGGTAGGGAAACCAGCTGGCCTGTTCCTCTCTCTAGAAAGAAGTCAAGGGCAAGATACCTCTCTTGCCGAGAAAACGCAAATGGACGTGTCAGCGAGCAGGTAGTCCCCGACTTACAACAATTCATTTAGTGACCGTTTGAAGTTACAACAGCGCTGAAAAAAACCCCCAGACTTACGAACCCATTTTCCACTCTTATTGACTGACCGTCCCCACGGTCACATGATCAAAACTCGGATGCCTGGCAACTGGTTCGTATTTATGACAAGTTGCAATGGGCCGGGATCACGCGATCGCCTTTTGCGACCTTCTGACCAGCAAAGTCAGATTCATTTAACAACCGAGTTGCTAACTTAACCACAGCAATGATTCACTTAACAACTGTGGCCAGAAAACTCATAAAACGGGGCCACGCTCACTTCACAAGTGCCTCGCTTAGCGACGTAAACGTGGTGGGGCTCCGTTTTGATTGTAAGCCGAGGACTAACCTCTACTTGCCAGGATCAAGACTTACTGAAAACAAAAAAGGATGCCCGTTTAATTTCAGCCAGTGGGGCCAAGGCTAGATCGAAGATTGCTTTGAGACTGAGGTTTGCTGGTGCCCTCCTTCCAAGAAACTGGGTCCCAGTGAGCCTTCCCCTGAGACCCCTTCTGCTGGGGTCATGCCAGATTGCTCTGGCCTTGGCACCTGTCAGAATATACCTAACTCCAATACCCCTCCTACTGTATACTGCAAGATAGCCTTTTCTGGGGCCAGACTGATCAAAAACGATGCCCCTTCCCCATAGTAATATTCCTTATTGGCTTGAAGGGGTCTCGTTGTGGCTGGTTAACAAGGGAACAGGGTAATAATACCCATCGGTCTAGAAAGCAGGAGGAACAAAGACGTAGCGATTAAAGTACAGCAGCAACAAAAATCTCCTCGCAGCCTTTAAAATACATGATTTAGAGTTGAGGAAATTAAATTGTTATTCTATACTGATTGGGTTAACTCTGTTAGAGTGGGGAGGGGGGGGCAATTAGGAACCATGTATTGCATTGATTTTGAATATTCTGTCCACGCACAGGCACAGTTCCCCCACCCTCTCGCATGCTTTATGAAAGTTGCTCTGATCTTCCCTATAGATCAAGAAAGAGCAAAGCATAAGGATGTAACGAACTACGGTACTGCTTGTTTGCTCACTGTCTATTTTTCCAGCCAGAGGGAAGGGATAAATTAGGTCACTCAAAAATCCCCCCTCCACCCCACCAAAGCAACAGAATGGTCTCTTTGATTTACCTGGAAAAGGGGCAGCCAGCAAGGGATCAGCTTCCTGGTAATGTGTGGGCACCGAAGTGGCTGGTGGCTTTTTATAAAGAGAGCTGCCGAGCATCAGCTAAGCCTTTTTAGGGAAGAAGGAGAGAGGAATGCGTTCCTCTGATAAGAATGGCCCTGATATGCCTAAGAGAAGGATGGAAAAGTGGGCAGTGGGATGTGGGGGCGGGGTGGAACTGGCTTAGGTTGACAGAGCCCCAGTAGAAAGGCTGGTATTGGTGAACTGTTGTCTCCAACTCTTTCCTGCACCCCGTCTAAAGCGAGGGGATCCCTACAGTTCACTTAATGACTAAATGATCAATCAAAGTTATAACTGCACTGGGAAAAAAAGTGACTTTATGACCGTTTTTCCACCCTTACACCATCCCTTTGGTCACACGATTAAAATTGGGATGTTTTGCAATTGGTTTGTATTGATGGCATCTTCAATGTCCCGGAGTCACCTGATCACCTTTTTGCGATCTTCTGCCAAGCAAAGTCAATGGGGAAGGCAGATTCACTGAACAACGGTGTTAACGGCAGTGATTTCCTGAAAAGAAAAGTGGTAAAATGGGGCAAAACTCGCTTGACAAATGTTTCACTTAGCAACCCAAAATTGGGGCTCAATTGCGGTCACCTCTCAAGGATTACCTGCTCATTCAAATTCTTGTTCCAAGTTCACCCATGACTTGCAGAAACGATTGGGTGGAGTAAGATTAAGTCCAAAACATGATCTTATAAAACCTTCTTTATGAAAATGCTCTGCACTTGGGATGACCAGGCACATCTGTGCAATCGTAGTCCCAAAGGTGCTTTATCAAGAGGCAACTGGACTTTCTGGTTTTTCTTTCAAGATGTTTAGCTTCTCATCCAAGAAGTTTCTTCAGCTCTGTAGTTTCTGTGTGACTCATGGCCAGTGTGTGCCAAAGACACTTGAGTTACAAGAGATTCACATAAGTGTGGTGACCAACTTTGTCAGCATAGATCAACTATTCTCAGCTTGTCCTCTGGATGTGCCAAGATTAAAACTTTCTGAATTTCCAGTCAAGCATGTCCAATAAGATTCCCATCTTATCTGGAAATTGTAGGAGTTGTAGTCAGGGGTGCCTGCAGGGAGGAAGGCATCAACCAACATGCAGTTTAAATCCTGCCTCTTTGATTGTGGCTGCCATCTTGACTTTTTTTGACTGCTCCTTGCTGCTACCCTGACTGTAACCTTAACTCTTCTGGAGCATTCAAGGGCGTGGAAGAAGCAAAATTCCCCCTTACCTGAATATAAGCTATAAAACACTTCGTGTAGCAGCCGTTTGAAGTTACAATGGCACTGACAAAAGTGACTTATGACATGGTCATGTGATCAAAATCCAGATGTTGGCAACTGACTTGTATTTATGACGGTTGCTGTGTCTCAGGGACATGTGATTAACTTTTGCGACTTTTCTGACAAGCAAATTCAGTGGGGAAACTAGATTCACTAAAGAACAGTGTGACTAACTTAACAGCTGCAGTGGTGGCCAATTGTGGTCGTAAGTCGTGGACTATTTGTACAATGCTGGAATTAAGGCTGGTGACTTTCAGAGCGCATGAAAATGAGGTTGAGAAGATTCATCGTCTGGTTTAGCAGCTGCGCCTGATCCTGCTACCTTGGGAAATGGCACTGCATTTGCCTGCTTCAAATAGTAACATGCTATGATGGAAAAGAGAGCATTCAATTCCTAGAATTGATGTTTTGCCTTGTTTTTTTGTCTTGAATGGATCTGCAATTGGATAGACTGATGTTCCAATCTCCCCAAAGCGTTCTAAGACAAATTAGCTGCCAGTCCAAATTATCTTTTGGGATTATTGAGAAGGAAAAACTTCAGAGGCTACACAGCTTGTCTTGAGCCACTGGGTGAAAGAGCAAGACAAAGCTGTAATTAACAACAGGGCAGGAAAAGTGATTCTCACTCACAGTTTGGTTCTGCAACATCACAACACAGCTCTTAATATTCATTTATTTGGAGGTGCAGTTCTTAAGGACTGCAGTCAGTCCAGAATCTTCTTGATATTTTACCTAGTAAGCAAAATACCCACAAAGACGTTAGAGCAGCATTTTGGAAAGGTTCCTGATTTCAAGGAATCCTCTCCTATTCTCATCAATCTGCCAGATTGTAGAGAAGGTTCACAAAGTATTAGGCTAAACAATGTTCTATTGAGGCTGATTAACCTCATTGTCCCTCTCTGTGAAATGGACATGCAACCATCAGCTTTACCCTGCAAAGGGGTGGGGGGATTAGAAGTAGCAGGTATGCCATCTTTATGAAAAAATTTCATTGTTATCTTCCGCTGCTGGTTTTCCTGTGGAGAAAGCCAAAGGCAACTGTGCATTTGAAACCACTGCCTTGAAATATTTAGGGAATATATCCAGGGAAGAATCCAACAGACTTGATAACACATGAAGAGGTAGACAATTTCCGGCCTGGCTGTTGTGTGAAGGGGCCTGGAGTACAGGATTAAGTTGTTGATATTCCATCTTAAATGAAGCTATCTGACCAATGTTGAGGTACTAAAAGAATAGTCTACCATGTCTAGGGGTAAGAAGCAAGTTATACTGTATATGAGTGCATATAAAATTATTCCCTGCATCCGACAGATAAGCAGTATTTCTCAACCTTGTGAACTTTCAGAAGTGTGGACTACCAACTTTGGGAAGAGAATTCTGGGAGTTGAAGTCCACACACCTGAAAGTTCTCAAGGTTGAGAAACATTAGATAAGACTGTCTCAGAAATAAATATACATTCTCTTTCTTTCTTGATTTGACAACAAACTGATCAACAAACATAGTGATTTTCAGCAAGAACCTATTTTATTAAAGGATCATTAAAAAAGTTAGTATGTAAGAAAATGGAAGCCTCAGGGACCAGGGACTTCCATCTCTGGTGGAATTATCTCATGGGGGTTATCTCCAACCTCCTGGTCTCCAAGTTGAAACAAGGAAAAAGTTTTTTTGTTTGTTTCCGCAACTGGCACAAATCCTGCATCTCTTGCCAGGTGAGTCACTCGGGAGGAGAACTCAGTCACTTGTTCTTTGGTGAGGTCAGGCAAGAAGCTACAAGAAGAACACACAAATCAACAAGGAAAAGGTGTGAGCCGTTTGTATCTTGATAACCAGTTGTCTAGCTTATATGTCAAACTGCTCTAATTAAGGGAAAAATATCTTTCCATTATTATTTTTCTGGTCATTTGTTTTAATACATTGTTTGCTTAATGAGCAAACAATGTATTCACTCAGCAGAGAAACCAGATCTTTATTGCATTAGTTTGTAATGCAATAAGACCATTTTGAAAAGATGTAAGATGGAGAAAATTGTAACCCAGGACACCGGAACAAAATCTACTTCACACACAAACAAAATTTACAGTCCAGAGACAGCTAAAAACCATAGCAGCAGCCATGAGAGTTAGGAGGAAATTGCCTTTAGCTCTTAGTCACACAACCAGTTTTGCCATACTTTTCTTGCCCTGGAGCTGGGAAGAACTCTTATTGCCCTCAATTTTGGTGTCCTCCTAACTACCACTGATGACACAGATAAACCTCCAACTGGCCTCAAGGACTCTAGAATGCAAATCACCAGCTGTCTGCAAGGAGTATCAATCCTTCCATTCCCTCCATCCACAGCTGAAGAAGCTTCTTGGATGAGAAGCGAAACGTTTTCAAAGAAAAACAAGAAAGTCCAGTTGCCTCTTGAAAAAGCACCTTTGGGACAGCTACTGGATACTCTTTTGTACATCCAGCACAAAAGCAGCCCAGACCACCCACTATATTATATCAATAAAGTGTATGGTCTGGGGATGTTGGAACGGTCTTCAACAGCAGGACTTATATGTGTGCAGTGTCCATCTGTTGGCTGCTTTGATCTGATTGCTCAAACTTGCCCATTTTAAAACACACATACACATACATGTAGATGGTAATGCTGAGTTCTAGGCACAGACTGGATAAAACTAATTCCACAGCAGACTTAAGCTAAACCATTTGGACCTAAACAGATCAGAAACCTCAACTGCATCATCTTAAGTCACCATGCACCCTAGATTATCCACACAGAAGTGCTTTGACTCAGCATAAAATAGGAAACTTCTATAAGACATTTAAAGTTCTCTTTAGCAACAGGCTGATGAGAAAAGAAAGAATGATAAATGGGCATACATGCCAGGGCGACAAGGCTGTGTGGGAAAACTCTTAACTTGGCACCAAAAACTCAACAAGACAAGCTCCTGAAAAGTTTTTACAACTGTGATGTCATTGCAGATGTCATTGTACTCTTCTTACAAGCCTCCTAACTTCTGAGGACAAGTCTGTCTATAACTGATGCCCTCAAAAGAATGGGCAAGTTCATGTGACAAACAAGGTTACATGCAGTACACATGGAGATACACCAAAGTTGAAGTGGACTGCGGTTCTCTCCCAAACTCTCCTCAAAAATAATTTATCCAAATGAACTATTTTTGTGTCTACTTAACTAGCAATTCTTGTGACTTCTTCAATACATCAAATTTCAATTATAAGTTGTGTACTCACCATTGAAGGGGCTCCAATGAACCAGACCCCTTGTTTATCTGGTTTATATTAGCCTTGTTCTCAGCTTATGTATTCTAAAATTTGGTGGTGGTAGACCAACATTTGCTTTGATAGCTTTTTCTACCTTGGTGTCCTGCAGATGAGTGGATTTCAACTCCCATAATTCCCACAAACTATGACTAAACATTAACTGAACAAAATTGTAAACTTTATACATAACATTATATATGCTTGGCAACTGATTCATGTTTATAACGGCTGCAGTGTTTCGGGGTCATCCAATTCCCCTTTGCGACCTTTTGACAAGCAAAGTCAATGGGGAAGCCAGATTCATTTAACAACTGTGTTATTAACTTAACAATGACAGTGATTCACTTAACAACAATGGCAAGAAAAGTTGTAAGAATGGGGCAAAACTCACTTAACAAATGCCAATTGTGGTTGTAAGTCGAGGATTATTTGTACAAGCAATGCAGCTGAATGGAAAGAAACATGACATCAATTCTGAAAAAAATTCAACCCCAATGTAGAATTTGGAAGTTTATTTTCTTGTCCTGCTGAAAATGAGAGAATGAAAAAAAAAGCAAAACTTACTTTGTTAACTCAACAATAAGAGTGGCTTTTGGAGCTGACACCAGACTCAAATTTGGTTTAAGATAATTCACCATGCTACAAAAAAGCAAACAAAGAAGAGATGAATGCAATTGGGAGTAAGCATCTTGGTCCCTCAGCTTGATCTGGAGTGGTCAGTGCAATTATGAGGTTTTTGTCTATCAACTTAGAAAAATATTGATAAAATTTCCCCAAACTTTCACTTGTCTCATCATACTGAGATATACATGATAATGATGGCAAAAATTTGCATTATTATACTGACTGAAATATGTTCTGTTCACAAGGTATCTACAGAGGCATGGCTTTAAATGTGGATAGCTGTCAGTAACTTGAAAAAATTCATACAGGTAGTCCTTGATTCGTGACCACAATGGAGCCCAGAATTTTGGTCATGTTGCTGAAGTAGTAAAGTGAGTCACCACATTGAGTCAACTTTTGCAATTGTTGTTATGATAGTCATAAAGTAAGCCAATGCGGTCATTAAATGAATTGTGTGATTGTTAAGCAAACCATATGGCTGCAATGCAAATTCAGCATATCCAATGGGTGTTTTTTGCCATTTTATGTGGAATGTAATCACGTGACTGCAGGATTGTATGGCAGTAATCACATGACTGCAGGATTGTAACTCTGAGACAGATTGTAAGTAACTTTTTTCAAGTCCATCATTATTATTAATGGTCATTAAGCGACCAGTCATAAATTGAGAATTCCCTGTAAAAGAGTTTGGAGAGTTGGCTGTATCATGAAATTTGTGAAACAACCAAATATGATGAGTGGGGAGGTGTTTCTTTCTAACAAGGCCAATAGCTATTTGGTAACGCTCACTAAACTAGCTAGATATAGTAGATCAACTCCCAATGAGGTTGGCTATTTGCCACCTCTCAGTAGGAAATCAATAAGGAAGAATCCTGGCATCCCCGCAGAGAAGTTCCATGCTGCCCTATTCTTACCTGCAAGAGAAGAAGATGAGATTGAAAAGCTGTTGATATTTGGCTTTGTGATGGAGTTCAGGAAGGCAGTCAAGAGGCAGGAAATGGACACACACATCTTCTGTTGCAGGAAGGCCTAAAGCATTGGGAAGACACAAACTAGTGAAAAGGGAAAGAAACAAAAAGAGTTGGACCAGTGTCTAGAATAAAGATGGATTTACTTGGCTAGTAAATTCAGATGTCTCACCATAAAATTAGGGTGTTGCAAAGGTCAGTGGTTTACAGCATTGTATCAGCACCACAAGAAAAAGGTTCTAATATATGAGATCCAATCCCGGTTGGTCACCAGGACCAGAGATTTACTCTTCCAAGCTTTCAGACTCATGCTGGAGTCCCATCATCAGGGAATTTCTCTCTACTGAAATATGTGCTTGGGGCTGTTCTGTGAGTTGTGTTTATGTAGTGCTGTCCTATTGGTTGATTGATTTGTTGATGGCTGGTGATTGGCTGTTGTTTCCTTGTGCTGCCAAGATCTCAGCTCCTAAGTATTTGATAAGCTGGTGGTAAATCAACACTCCTATTAACTGACAAGGGATCCATTTCCTAGGTTCTAATACAACACTAGGCAGGAATTTCTGGTTGCTAATGAAACATCTGGGCAAATAATAATAATATTATTATTGGCCCACCTTTTTCTCCTCCATCCCTGGCACTTCTTCTGGCTGTGAAGGTTTCAAAGGAAAAGTTTCATGTGGGAATGAAAATGAAATTTGTCCTGTGTTTCTATGGGAATAGATTTCCAGGATTGAATGAAACTTACTCTCCTTATACATGGGCAGCAACACTAACTGGGCATTCAGTGCCTCTCTCCTTCCAAAAGATATTTAGAAGTAGTCCTTGACTAACAGCAGTTCACTTAATGACCCTTTGAAGTTACAATGGCACTGAAAAAAAGTAATTTATGATTGTTTTTCACATTTATGACAGTTGCAGCATCCCTGTGATCACATGATCAAAATTCAGATGCCTGGCAACTGACTCATATTTATGACGGTTGCAGTGTTCTGGGTCAATGTAATCACCTTTTACAATCTTCTGACAAGCAAAGTCAATGGGGAAGCCAGATTCATTTGACAGCTGCAGCGATTCACTTAACAGCCATGGCAAGAAAGGTCTTAAAATGGGACAAAACTCTTTAACCACTGTCTCATTAGCAACAGAAATTTGGGGCTCAGTTGTGGTTGTAAGATTTCTAAAAGTTGTTTGAAAAAGAGGACATGTAAATATATATCCCAGTAGCCTGAATTAAAAAAAACCTGTACAAATAGATCTAATAGATAAGGAAGTAGCAGTGCATCAAGGAATGGTTTTTGAGGAAGAGAAGCACTAAAGAAAACGAATAGGTGAATAAAAGCAAAGTAATCATCTAATACACAAACTTGGATCATCCTGGTCTCCCTTTTCCTTTAGAAAGCCTTGATCGATTTTTGAAAAGTCTGCATTTATAAATGTGAGGTTCTTGGGAAATTATGACCAATGACTACCTAAAAGAGCAGAAGCAGCATATAAAACCTCTACAAGTAGTTCTCAACTTACAATAGTTCATGTAGGGACCATTCAAAGTTACAATGACATTGAAATTTAGTGACTTATGACTATTTTTCACACTTACGACCATTGCAGCATCCTCGTGGTCACATGATTAAAATTCAGCTGCTTGGCAACTGACTCATATTTATGACGGTTGCAGTGTCCCAGGGTCATGTCAGTTTTTCTGATGAACAAAATCAATGGGGAAGCCAGATTCCCTAAACAACCATGTTACTAACTTAACAACTGCAGTGATTCACTTAACAAATGGCAAGAAAGATCGTAAAATGAACATGAGCCAAAAATTCACTTAACAAATGTTTCACTTAACAACAGAAATTTTGGGCTCAATTGTGATTGTAAGTCAAGGACTACCTGTATTTGTTAAAAGGGAGAGAACGCACCAATCGTTACCTTTTGTAGCACACAATGCAGCACAGTCATCACCATCTTTCCCCTCTTCAGATGGGGCCAAAGGGTCGTAGTGGTTGTGGTATCTCAGTTCATACAATAGGGTGGTGACATTGTGCAAGGAGATTTCTTGTGCATTCTGTGAATGAAAAGATCACCAGTGTGAAAATGTGCACCAGCACAAGATCTTGTTCTGAGCTATGCTTGGATGCAGCCATAGCTTTCACAAATACCCATTGCTATTGCCCCCCCCCTCCCCCCGCAAAAAAGTATCATGCTTACTTTACTAGGGCAGCCATTGATGGTTTTCAGCAGAGTGGGATCTTCAGCTTCAATGCCAAATGTGATATATGGGCCAGTGGTAATATCTCCCCAGTATCCGCGGGCTGGTATGGGTTCCCCTTTCTAGGAGATGAGAAATCTGAATGAGTTAATTTGGTCTGACATATCATTGTTATTTATCCCTAATTGGGTTTCCCAGCTAGCGTAGGAGGGAAAGCAATTATAAAGATGAGAAGGGGAATACACTAGGGCAATTTTGGCAATTTTAAGATTTGTGGGCTTCAACTCTTAAAGTTGCCAAGTTTGAAGAGCCCTGCCTTAAAGCATTTTTAGCAGACATACAGGAAATATACTCTAATGGTGAACTTGCTAATTTATGATATGTACAACTCTTTAAATATTGATCAGCTCAGACATTAAATGGCTGGCTGAGGAATTATGAAAATTGAAGTCCACAAGTCTTAAAGTTGCCAAGTTTGGAGACCCTGCACTACGGTTATAAAAGAAAAAAGTGAAACCTCCTTTTCCAACTTCTGCTAAAAATTCTGCCCCTTTCAGTAGGGGTTCATCATTGGGCCAATTTGGAAAAACACCATTCATTTTGGACCATGGACTCTGGTCTTCTGGTGGGAGAACTGATAGTTACAAATTAGATTTGTGATTGCTTCTGATTCTAATTATATTTATATTTCATTCACATGGGAAACTAAAAGGGTTTTATGACGGTAGCACAAAACTCTTTGTAATTTTTGTTGCTAGGATCCATCATAAGGAAAGTGGTCTTTCATCCTGTAGAGAAACTGAGTAAATGGCTGGGAAAATGGGAAAAAAGTAGAACCAAAGAAGATTAGAAACATGTAGCAATGCTGAAAGAAAAGCAGTGTTACTCTTTGAGACCATAACAGATCTATCTGCTACTAGTTTTTATCTCTAAATAAATACCTAGAAAAATGGGTGTACAATAATCAAATTGCAGCAAATATCTAAGGATTTCTGAAAGAGTGGCTGTGAATTTGATACTTTTCTCATTATTTGAAAAATCTATGTCACTTTCACTCTGTTGCTACAGCAGCTTTACCAGACTATATCACAGGAAAGTTAAGAGTTTGGAGTACAGCAACTTTAATACAATTTCCTCATTCCTTACATCCCTCGTTACTCATTATCGCTCAGCATATGCTGCAGTGAAATATGCTGTTTTGAACTTGGACAAAAAGTTGGATTTTGTACACAGGTAGTCCTTGACTTATCACCATTTGTTTAATGACCATCTGAAATTACAAATGGAATTGAAAAAGATGACCTATGACAGTTTTTCACACTTAACAATCACATTTTAATGTGATTAAAATTCAGATGCTTAGCAACTAGTTCATATTTATCATGTTGCAGTGTCCCTTGGTCACGTGATCTCCTTTTGCGACCATCTAACAAGCACAGTCAATGAGGATGACAGATTCACTAAAAAGTGTGTCAATAACTTAACAACTATAAGTGTTTCATTTAACAACTGTGGCAAATAAGGTAGTAAAATGGATCAAAATTCACTTTAAAGTGACTTGCTTAGCGACATAAATCGAGTTGATTGAGTAATAACAGATCCCAATTCCCCACAGTCCCCCCCTGTCCCCCCATGTGTTCTTAGGTTTTAATGTCTGGTTTTAATTATTTAATTTTTAATTGTATATATATATAGACCTATTTTTATAACTATAAGCCGCCCAGAGATGAGTGGCCAGTAAATTTTATAAACAAACAAACAAATAGCTTTTGGGCTCAATTACGATAGTAAACCAAGGACTATGTATTTTACATAAAAATATATCATTGTCCAATCAGAACTACACACTACCCCTCTCTGTCTTTACACTTTGGCAATCATCTAGAGCAGTGTTTCTCAACGTTGGCAACTTGAAGATTTGTGGACTTCAATTCCCAGAATTCCTCTGCCAGCTCCCAGCATCTTAAGAAAGTGAAAGGCTTCACTCACGTGTCTGATGAGACGTCCAGATGCCAAGGTTTTGTTGGGGACATCGTAGGTAGCTTCTCGCATTTCAAAGGCCACGCCTGTATTACGCCAATGGAAAAACTCATGGAAGTTTATTGTTATGGCCTAGATGGAGAAAAAGGATACAGATAGTCCTCAACTTATGACCGCAATTGAGCCCAAAATTTATGTTGCTAAATGAGACATTTGTTAAGTGAATTTTGCCCCATTTTACAACTTTTCTTGCCACATTTTTAAGTGAATCACTGCAGTTGTAAAACTAGCAACACCGTTGTTAAGTGAATCTGGCTTTCTCATTGACTTTGCTTATCAGAAAGTAGCAAAAGATGATCACATGACCCTGAGGTACTGTAACTGTCATAAATATAAACCAGTTTCCAAACATTTGAATGTAAATCACATGGCCATGGGGATACTGCCATGGTCATAAGTGTGAAAAATGGTCACCAATCACAGTTTCAGTACCATTGAAACTTCCAATGGTTATTAAATGAATTGTTGTAAGTTGAAGATTACCTGTACTGTAAGAGCAGGAGGAGTGCCCCTACTTTGTGCCCCTGTAGTCCCACACCCCGAATGTGATTGGCTAATGTTTTCCCACATTTTAGTTACATACCCCATGCTCATGCAGTTTCATGGTGAGATCCCAGTCACACACCCCACGGCGAGAGTCATAACGGGTGCCCAGATATTGCCGGAGGCGCAGGTCCCAAAGCTGCTTGATCTGGAAAGCTTGTGGGTCTGGATTCCGCCAGAACTGAAAAATAGCCTCTAATTGGTCCCGTTCCCTGAACTATCCAAACATGAAGAAGAATTAGGAAGTTGCTGAACCCCATGTAGATTTCGGATCCTACATGGGGGGTGGAGCATCAAGGAACTAAATCACCAAAAGAATGTCCCACCGCCTTTTCATTTTTTTTTAACATTCCTTGCCTCTTTCATGCTTTTAGTATTTTATTATATAGCATTCAGAGTCTCTCTGTGAGGAATTAACAAATAAAAATGTGGAATGCAGTAACTTGGATCCACAATCCAGGATGTGTGGTTATAGATTGTGGATCTCAAAGAGCCACAACAACATGGTAAATACGTCTTCATTGTTCCCTCAGTGATAATAACCTGACTGCTACACTGTTTTGCATTTCACCTTGAGTGCAGAGAAGTCCAAAACAGGGAGATTAGCCAGCTGGAAGTCAGAGTCTGTGATGTAACGGATGAAGAGGGCTGCTTTCTCCTGCAGATAGGCAGCGGTCTGGTTCCGGAGGAGAGTGTTCCCCATTAGTTCCAACAATGTCTCACTCTTCTCTTGGGTGAAGGAGGATGTAGCAAAGAAATATCAATTGTAAGGCATTATGATTCAATTTTTCTGAATCTGCCACCTATCCCCAACCATCAGTGATCCAGAAGCCCAAATCAAATGGTTTCAAAAGGAGGGTATGAAGGTGGAGTAGATGAGAAACCATACTTTCTCCTTACCTTGTAGGCCCATTTTGTCTGGAGGCTCCAGAGCCAGGTTCAAGAACAACAGCTGCCGACTCACAGCCTCCAGATTGTTCTCCAGAACATAGAACTGAATGAACGAGAGAGACAATTAGCTGAGCAAAGTGGAAAATCTTCCTCATTACACTGTGAATATCAAAATGGAAAATGCCTTACATCGATTGGACCACTGAGTCATGGAGACCAATTTTTTTTAAGCAGATTAAAAAGATGTGAAACATATCACTGATCTGCAACATCTTATTAAGTTTGTCTCTTAATTAAATAAGACATGCTTAGCACAAAATGAAATATCTGATTGTCTGGCCTGCAGTGCTTCTCAAGCTGGCCTCGCTCCTGTCTCATTTCTGGTTATAAAGCAGAATAACTGATTGATATTTTATCAGTAAAAGACATGATCAGAAAATTATTTCCTGGGAGAGGAGAATTCTTATCCAGTTTTTAAAATGGGGTATCCACTCAAGCTGACAGAAGCAAAAATGTCTGTGAATTAGTGAATATATGGTGTGTACCAGAGTAATATAAATTGGCAGGTTGTAAAAGAGAGAGAGTTGATTGCAGGAAGCTTGGGGTGGTAGGACTTCTCTTAAGGAGGGGTTCTGTTCTTTATATTTTAGATTTTTTTTCTTGACTGTGATGCCTGTATATTTGTAAATAAAGATATTACAAAGATAGTGCAGCTCTTCAGTACTGTTGCATCCCAAAAGAGCAGCAAATCTACCCCTCCTTCTTTCCATTACAGGTAATCCTCGACCTATGACACTTGAGCTCAATTTTCTGTTGCTAAGTGGGACATTTTTTAAGTAAGTTTTGCCCCATTTTACAACCTTTCTTGCCACACTTGTTAAGTGAATCACTGAAGTTGTTAAGTTAGTAACTTTGTTAAGTAAATCTGGCTTCCCCATTGATTTTAGTCAGAAGGTTACAAAAAGTGATCATGTGACCTTGGGACATAGCGACGGACATAAATAGGAACCTGTTGCCAAGCATCTGAATTTTGATCATATGACCATGGGGATGCTGCAACACTCGTGTGATAATGGTCATAAGTTACTTCTCTCAGTCTTCTTGTAACTTTGAACAGTCACTAATAGAACTGTTGTGAGTCGAGAGTTACCTATGTTCAGATGCTGAAAACATCCAAACAAGCTTTGTAGAAATAAATTCTGGATCCTAAATTCTTCAGCTGTAACCCACTTAGTAAAATCTCACTCCCCTCATCCTTACACTCTTCTGGAAAATTATTTCTCCATTTTAAAAGCTTTCTCATTTTACTATTCAACTATTTAACTGAAATTGATTCACTGTCCAAGAACCGTTGTACTCCAATGCTTCATTCCTATCATAAAGAATTCACTGCTTCAAGCAAAGCTCCTATGAGACCAATACCAGGAATTCAAAGTTTTCTTTCGCAGCCCTGCTCCATTCCCTCCCTCCACCAATCCTCTTGTTATGAAGTGACACTGAAAAATGTATGCTGTCAGAATCACAACCGTTGACTCATAGCCTCATGATGAAGGAAGGGCACCAAAGGACGTCCGTGCGAACGTAGGAGTTGCTATGGGGGATTGCAGTGATGTTGCATCTGTGGTCACACATGCCCTTGTTCATCTTTGCTTCCACACCTTCACCTCACATGTCAACCACAATATGCATGAACTTCAGCACTGTGATGAGCTGAAGGACTATCTTTGGTGGGAAGCTACCAAAGCAGCCCTGTCAGACTCCTCACTATGACAGGAATTAATTAATGTCATCACACATTTTAGGAAAAGGAAAAGAGGAGGCAATAAATCACCATCATTTTATCACATGGGCAAGATGACTTAAATTTGAGAAGAGAATTCACTGGTTTTGGTGCCTGTGATATAGCCCAACAAAGAAATCATTTCCCCTGCAGAAGAAAGTACAGTTCTTTTTCCCAATCTCCTTAGTGAATATTAGCTACTGATAATAGACTTTTTATGGAAAAGCAGCTAAATATCATGAGGAATTCTGGTATTTTCTTGATGTTTCAAAACATTCTTAAATGTATAATCAAGCATTTATGTATCACTGTTTATATTTGCAAAGGCTTTTATAATTTTTGTAGCCAGTCTGTTAGGGTAATTTTTTTTTTGAAAGCTGAATATACTGTGATGTGAATGGACAATTGCTCCTTAAAATTATTTCAAATATTTATTTTTATTTACTAGTACACTTTATTACCTGCCTTCTCTCCATCATGGAAATCAGTAACAGAATAACCGAGTTGGAGGGACCCTGGTCCAACCCTCTGCTGAAGCAGGAAATCCTATACCAGGTGTGTCAAACTGGATTTCTTCGAAGGCTGGATCAGCATTATAGTTCTCTGTGGGCCCGCTGGGTGGGGGGGATGTCTCCTGCAGCACTTTGCCGGCCAAACAGGGCGGGGGGGGGGGGGGGGGGGGGGGGGGGGGGGCTGCGTGTTGCCCACCTGTGTCCCGTTTTGGCTGGCAGAGTGCTGCAGGAGACTGTCCAGGCTGAAAACAGGGTGCAGGGCGGCTGTTTTGGCTGCCAGAGGCACCATTTGTCTTTTGCTATTTCCAGGCCGGCCCCATGGGCCAGATTTAAGCATCCTGCAGGCCTTGAGTTTGATACCCCTGCCCTATACCATTTCAGACAAATGGTTATCCAATCTCTTAAAAACTTCCAGTTGGCACATTCACGATTTCTGGAGGCAAGTTGTTCCACTGATTAGTTGTTCTAACTGTCTGGAAATTTCTTCTTAATTCTAGATTGCTTCTCTGCCTGATTAGTTTCCATCCATTGCTTCTTGTTCTGCCTTCAGGTGCCTTGGAGAATAAGTTGACCTTCTCTTCTTTGTGGCAGTCCCTGAGATATTGGAACACTGCTAAGTGTTCCAACAGAACAGTTCCTATGCTGCCTCCTAGTCATACTCAGACCTGTTTTAGTTTCAGCAAGATTGCTACTGCATCATTTTACATCACACAACCAAGATTTTTTATCACTGTTGCAAACCTATTCCTAGAAAACTCCCATTTTGATGGGCAACAGTCAAAACTTTATACTAAAATACAATAAATGAAGACAATTCTAAATTATTTAACAGAATGGCAGCGATTTATTAATGAAAGAAATAATTTGCAAGTCCATTCACTAGCAGAGAAATGCTCTTCCTGGAGCAGATGCAAAGAAACGTACATTCTAGCTATAGAATTTGATTTGTCCTGTTGCCCAAATACTATACGTCAGCGAGGCCCCCAACCTTTTGGACACCAGGGACCAGTTCCATGGAGAGAGGTTTTTCCATGGACTGGAAGGGGTGCGATTTCATGTGCTGCCTGCATCCCAGATATGGGGCTTCACTTGTTTGTGTGGCCCAGTTTCTGGCCATGGAGTGGTGCTGGTCCATGGCCCAGGGGTTGGGGACTCCTGCTATAGGTGTTTTATTAAGTTATTATCAAAATAATAAATCTGCAAAGTTTAGCCAAATAACCCAAGAAACCATTCAGTCTCTGCAGAATGCAGTGGGCAGGAGGAAATAAAACATAAAATGAGGGAAAATGCAACATAGTTATCAGGACAAACCAAAGTGCAAAAATAGCATAAGAGAATATGGCATAGAAGGAAAAGGTTACGCACACTGATTTTTCTCTGAGGCTGCTGATGCATCTGACTCATCGTTTTTAGGATGTGTCGTGCATCTATTGATCCCACTAGCAGGATGTTCAGTTCAGGAACGCCATTCTGGGATAGTTTCAGATGCTCCGTGGAGGATTCTAGAGCTACAGAGATAATTAGTATGTTCGTTCACAACTGCCAATATTCTATGTTAAAAACATATGTTATTTTCCTAATAGGAAAATCCTGCAACATTCCTGGCAAGGAATGTTTTAGTATTCTGCATCTGTAAATAATTGCACATGAAGTAAACAGTAATTTGCAGAAATGAAAAATGGCAGAAAGAAACTGCTTAATTTTGTGCTGTGTAACGATAATGTTAGCTTCTGTTTACTTATGGATCATGGAATCCGACAATTTTACTGGGGAATCTAAATTTTTGCATGCAGCCATATCAAGGAGGTACAATCTTTTTACAACAGTGAGCATGTCGAGATTTGACAGCATATTGTAACTGCTTTCATAAATGCCCATCGTGGAAGGCTTTGTCTTTTTCTTAAAAAGCTGCCAGAATAGATATTATTCACTAAACTGCCCATTTATTTGAAGGCAAACCAACTCCTCTGGTCTACTTTTAGCTTTTTTTTTCTAGTTAGGAAGCTACATTTTCTGACAAAGCCCTGGGCTAAAACTTTAATTAAAAAAAAAATTCTGTCAGGACGGTACAGTGACCCCGCGGATCCAGAGCATTTTAAAAAAATAAACACAAAGCCAGAGGAAGAAATAAAGGATTGCTTTGCAACATATCAATTTCATATTTTCAATTAAAAACACCTTAATAATTAGTAATAGGTAGGATATGCAGAGCCTAACAATATTGATAATGGATAGAAAGTTGAGAGGAGGAAATAGCAATATTACCCCACAGGAGCATCAGGTTGTCTCTCTGTGTATGTATGTTTGTGTATGTAACACCTGCATAGGCTGTCATCCAACAGATCAGCATCTGGTGGACCTAGAAATACTTTTTATTCAGAGGTAGCTGCTCTCTAAAGATAGCATCACATTATTGAGCCCACACAGAAGCAGAGAGAAGAGAGATTTTGCAAGTAAAAGCAAAAAGCTCCTTCCACATTTGTGGGACAAAAGGCTCCAATTTCATAATAAAACATGAAAGCAGAGAGGAAAAGGGAACCCTGCATTTTGAAAAAAAGTGACACTTACCCATTGCTTGCAAATTGAGCGCTGGAGAAAACCCCCACCAAGCTGTGGTGCCAAAACCATTGCCAGTACCTGCTGCTAACATGGCTGCAAATAAAACATAGGAAAAACATAAAATTTAGGAATTATATATCAGGAACCCACCACAGTTGAATTACTCTCTTGCTATAATGTTCACATTCTTATACAAACCTGATCTTCCTCTAACAGTGTCACTCTGGGCAGTACGCAAGAGAAACAAACAATAACCAGAAGAAATTACCACACATTAAAAAAAAAAAACTACCCGATGTACAAATTATAAAATGGCATCCAAAGTAAGTAAACAAGTAGAAGGGAACTCCACTCAAATGGATCCAAAAAGCAGGGTCTTTGATTTTGCCGTGACCTTGTTAATCTAAGAAAAACCGCTCTTCTCAATTTCATCCTTTACTGATCTATCTTATAGGATTGCTATCTTCCATCTTGTGCAAATTGATGCCCATATTTTTAATTTCTTATGAACAATTCCAGTTCTTGGAATTACTGTAAACTGTAATGTTTTTAGCCTCTATCAAACTGGAGAAGATGATAAAAAATGCTATTCTTTTGATTTTACTCCTAGGGCAGTTTACTAAGTAGATGCCACATACTTTTCTCTGAAAGGCAATTTGACTTACATCATTTGTGAACCAACATAATTCAGGCTAACCTAAATTTTAAAACTGAAAGGACAAACCTATTTGCAAAAGACTCCCTGTTATTTCCCAGTGCTTGTCTCTATATTTAAGAGACTTGATCATATGCACCTTTGTTCCTAATTCAAGCAAATCTTTTCAGAGAGGGCATGAACAGGCATAGAATATAAATCCCTAATTACATCAATTTGCCAGGAATCAGGGATAAGTAAAGCATTTGCACTGAAGAGAAATAAAAATTCACTAGAAAGAATGAAAAAAAAAATCAGAAGAGCTGCAGCATTTGATATAACACGAAGGCATTTGTCATATTCCGATCCCCACAATGGCCTCAGATAGAGATTAGAATGATGTCAAAGGATCATCTTTCTACTAATATCCAGGACACCCAATTCTTCAAGTTTTCATTTTAATTATTTCAAAAGTGCAAACTTATAACAGAATTCATATAAGACTCCAAAAATTAGCCCAATAAACTGAGCAGGATGCTTAGTTTTATATTTTCTCATATATTCTGTGTGGCAAGCTGCTTTTAAGGTGAAAAAGAAAGGCAGCAGTGTAATGTGATTCTAAGGTTGGGGTGGAAACATAATGCATGGAGCATATATATGACTAATATCACACTGATTTGGACTAGGAGTAAGCATTGTTAACGTGAATGCAACTTTAAATAGGAGGAACTTGATTTTATTGTGAACAAATACTGTGGGGAGCAACCTGACAAATTCAATTTATTCATATGAACAAATACATAACATTTACATGGCATGACCTGCTTCTGATGGTCTTAATTCAGTTTTCTCTCTTGGAAGAATTAGGAGTTACAGTTAGAAATGAAAAATAGATAGATAGATAGATAGATAGATAGATAGATAGATAGATAGATAGATAGATAGGTAGGTAGGTAGGTAGGTAGGTAGGTAGGTAGGTAGGTAGGCAGGCAGGCAGGCAGGCAGGCAGGCAGGCAGGCAGGCGGGCTGACCGACTGACTATGCAGGGAAGGGCTGCATTTCAGCAATAAAATTTCTGCCAAAAATTCTTCCTTGAAACCCTGGTAAAGGGTTTTATCCATAAATAATTACATTGTGAGTTAACTAACTATAGAGGGCAGATTTTTAGAGCTTTGATTAGTGCTTACTAATCTGTTTTAAAATGGAGCATCAAATAGATGTAACCAGAAATTGGATCTCATCATTTAATATTGCAATAATAAAATAAGCTGCAAAAGATGGAATAGTTCTAATCTTACTACATTATGGCTTAGCACAATCTTCAAATCCAGCTAATATTACTCTAAATCAGTATTTCTCAAAGTGTCAGGGGTCTAGGGTGTCTGTGAAATCAAAATTATTTGCCAGCCTGTATTGAAAAATAATACATTAAAATCCTATCAAACAATTGTGAGAAGTGGTAGTGGCAGCAAACGCATCAATTTTATTTTTAGTATAATAAATATTGATAAATATAATCCATACCAATAAAAGCTTTTTTAGAGTCCTATATAATTTTAAAAGTGGGAAGGAGACCTGAGAGAAAGAAATTTGGGAAGCACTAATGGAGAACTCCAAAGGCTTATGTTCCTATCAATATTTTCTTTATTAGAAATTAAAATGGAGACATTTTAAAATATTTATTTATTCAACATTGAGAATATCCTGAAAGGTCTCAGGGACCGCCAGAGGTTCTCAGACTACAATTCTAGAACTATTGATCTATATCAGTGTTTTTCAAACTTTGCAACCTTAAGATAGGTTGATTTCAACTCACAGATGTTAGCTAGGGAATTCTGGGAGTTAAAATCTACTCATTTTAAAGTTACCAAATTTGAAAAATACTGTCCTACGTAGTTTGTCTGAAACATATATTTTTGTAGAAAGCACCACTGAGTTCAAACCAACTTATTTCTGAGTAAATTGTAGGCATAATGCACCTAAGATGCTATGATACTAAGTCTGTGAGAGGAGGATGAGGCAATACCATAATAGCAATAAAAAGAGTTAATGCAATATAAAGCAAGGCATGAACCTTGACATCTGATATTCACACAGGTAGTCCTCAGCTTAGTTCAAAGTTACAACAGCACTGAAAAAATGACTTGTGACTGTTTTTCATACTTATGACCATTACAATATCCTCATGCTCACGTGATCAAAATGGAGAGACTTGGCAAAGGACTCATATTTATGACAGTCCCCTTTTGTGACCTTCTGAGAAGCAAAGTCAATGGGGAAGCCAGATTCACTTAACAGCCACGTCACTAACAACTGCAGTGATTCACTTAACAACGGTGACAAGAAAGATCGCAAAATGGGCACAATTCTCTTAAACAGAAATTTTGGCTTCGGCTGTGGTCATAACTCGAGGACTACCTGTACTCCTATTTAGATGGCCCATCCCTTACCCCGAGTTTCCCTTAACCAGCACTGAACTGAACTCGAATTTAAAACCTCCTCTACTGGATGTGTGTCTGTTCTGCTCACCGGCACTGAACGTCAGTCCGGTCTATCCCGCCATCCTTTCTACCCTCTCAGTTTGCCTTTAAGTGGCGTTACCCGCTTATTCCCTCCGCCACGATCCTCCGCCGAAAAAGTGGGTCGAGGCGCCCTTTCAGGCGCAGATCCCTCTTGCCCACCCCTCCTGATGGAAGTCGTGACAGACAGCTCCCTGTTCAATCAGTCGCGTCCATAAGACGCGCGACAGCCAATCCAAGCCCGGGAAAGGAAAAATAGGCGAGCCGTGGCAGGTAGCCAGGGACGCGGTCTCCTTGGCAACGGGGCCTGCGGCGTTTGAGCGGCATGTCTGGCGTAGATTATTTCAGAGATACGCTTTTTCTCCTTCTTCGTCGTTTGAATGAAATGCCGTTTCTTCCATTTCAAGACCGTTTATGTCAGGCGTATATTATATGTACTCACTAATATGCTGTCATAATAACATAGAAGTCTCTGTGGATGCAGTCATGAACTGCTTGAGGGAAGTGGGGGGGCTATCCTGGGTGATTAAAAGAAGTTTAAAATGAAAAAAAAACGGCGAGGGAAATGATTATTTACGGGAGAAGCGTTACCCCCTTGCTGATTGTATTAATATACTTTATTGCGTGGGGAGGGAAGGGGGCTCCTGTATTAATGTACTGCTTTGCCTAACCGAAACCAAAATAATGTGGAGAATAATAACATTTAGGCATCTTCTGTGCAATAAATGGAATAAAATCATTTAGCTGTATAGGGATTAAAATGGGAAGACTATCTTGGCTGCCTTCTATGGGTGGGCCAGAGTTCTTCAACCTAGATAGGTTGGCTCTGATACTGCAGCGGGCAAAGAATATTGTCAATAGGGATTGTCTCAGCATAATAAATAATTGCAATTCAGCAGTCTCTAGAAAGAAGCTGCTTTTTGGTTACAAAAGGGGGCAGGTTAATATGTAGTTGATTATGTGCCATTAAATTGGTACCAACTCCTAGCAACTACATAAGTTTTCCTCTATCCCTAATCTGTTCTTTTACCTGAGGTTCACTTCAATGATGCACGCATCTCCATATTGTAATTGAGTCTATCCATCTTGCTGTTGCTTGTCCTCTTTCTTTACTTCCACCTTCTATCACTAGAGCCTTTTCCAGAGCACTGGATCTTTTCATAAGGTGCCTGAAGAAAGGTAGTTTGAACCTGGCCATTTGTGCTTCCAGTGAAAGAACTCCGGGTTGATTTGTTTGTTTTCTTCGATTTCTTTTTTTTTTAAAACAAATTTTATTCAATTTTTCACATTAAAAACAAAAATCTCTTTTTAGTGGACAACATATTTCCGGGTCATCACCTTTACATACAAATATGACAGCAATTATACATTCATATATGCATACTTAATTCTATTATTACCTTTTCCATTCCAAATTTTCAGTAAGGAGAGAAACACACACATTAATTCTAGCCTCTTTCATTAATCTCAATAGAAACATCTTTTTGTTTCATTTCAATTATTTCAAATATCATCCTTTAATATTTATTTTAAAAATAAAGATAAACAATATGTGTTTGCCTAATAATAATGATAATGATAATAATTAAAAAGGTTACCAATGTCTCTCCTTGCTTTTAATAGTCTATATTAACTTATTAATTTAGTTGGTTCTTTAGTCTGTCATATTCCCTTTCCATTACACATTCTTTTTATAAATTCTAGATTAATACAAATTTTAACACTAAAGAAAAAAAAAACTATAGGTTTTCCCCCTTTTACTGCTTTGAGTGTGCCACCTCAATGATTAACATATACCTTTATTCCCTCATTTTGATTCCCAGTAAACGGTTATTTTTAAGAAGTTACAATAATAATCATTACATCTTTTCATTTGGATTCCGCAGCATATTTCCCCCCTTAATTTTTAATAAGAGTTATCAGTATCTATATTACCCTATTTTCTAAATATTTTTAATTGCAGAAATATTCTTATTACCCCTTGTCACCCTGCAGAATCCCCTTTTTAATTCATCAACCATTATCTCTGAAAAACCAATTTCTTTTCAACATTTTACTATTTCCGTATTTCTTTATTTCATGCACCTGTTTCTTACTGCTTCTCCTCCCCCTCTTTTCCCCATATCTTTTCTCATTCCAGTTTATATCCCTCTCTTAATATCTTCCTTTCCCCTTTTCTACTGGGTCTTTCTACCTTTCCCGACTTCACAGGTATTCCCCCTTTTGATTGCCTTCTTAAATCTCAACTTTTTAACCTTCCTTCTTTCCCCACTTCTTTGTAGTGTTCTTTGTGTTAATTGACTATTTAAAATGTCTTCTCCTTGAGTCGACTCCTCCTCCTCTGAAGCTCTTTCTTCTTGTTCTTCAATCACCATTTCCATTTTTTCTAACACAGAGCAAAGTGATTTGCCTCTTTCCTGTAGTAATTCTCTCATATTTTTAAGTTCCATTTTTAATTCCCGAAGAGATATCATCATTACAAACTCTTATATTCTATTATTGTTAAAGTCCACACACACACACACACACACACAAACACTTTTACTTTCCTTCTTTCTTCTTTCAATTTTCTAAAGTTCTCAATTATTCCAACCCAGGGTCTATACCAAAAACATCATCAATCCCACAGTCTTTCCTTGCTTTTTTCGTTATTCTGGTTCTGCTTTCACTTTCTAAGATTCTTACTTTGTTTCAATATTTCTTTAATGTTATATCCACACAAGTTCATTCAGAAACAGGATGTTTTCCTTTTTGTTTGAGCTCAAGTTTTTGTCAAAAGGTGGCACTCTCCATTATACAAAGTCTTCACCTTTCCCCCCTATTTTTTTATTTAGGGTTTTCGAACCTCAATATTCCAGCACAGTCCAGTCTCCAATTTGTAAACTTTATTATTATTATTTTTTGACAATCTTAAGTCCAGCTTTATTTTATGCCTGTTTATTGCCAAAATATTTTAGTCCAATTTAGTTAAATCTTTAGTTCCGGCTTCTTCCTTTCCTGGTTCGAAGCCCCACTTAGCTGTTAAAAATGTTTTCTTATTTTTTTTCCCTGTCCCTTTGTAATTTCGCCGCTCATTTTCTTTTCTTAAAAATTCCATGTTACCTTAATCCTGGGGTACTTTTAGTTTAGTTGTATTGCCCTGTTGTCCCACTTCAGATGTTATCCACCTCTTTCTTCCCTCCTGCACAAATATTAATCCAGCTGAGTCCTCCTCTTCGGGGTGGCCATTTTAAACCACCGCTGCAGTCGTTTTTTGGGGGGGAAAGACCAAGCCCAGGGGGGAAGATGCGGCTCCCCTCAACCTGGCTTGCGGCTTCCCCTTACTCCGCCGCCCCTCCAAGGCAGCTTCAGCCCCTAATCGTAATGATCGGGGCTCTCCAACGAAAGAGCACGGACCATAGCCGCAGAGAGTCGTGATCTACGGTCCGTCAGCGAGGAGGCCTGTTTTCTTGGATTTCTATGATGGTATCTTCTCTGACAAATTATACAGTGCTTGGGTTCAAATATTAGTTATCTTCTCATCCAAGACGTTTATTCAGTTCTGAACTGAAGAGGCTTCTTGGATGAGAAGAGAAACATCTTCAAGGAAAAAACAAAGTTCAGTTGCCCTTTGAAAAAGCACTTTTGGGAGTGTTTTGTTATTCCAATCACTTTAGAATAAATGAATTAAAAATATAGGCAAAATAGTATTAGGAATGTAGGATTTTTACCACTGAATTGCCTCTCCAACCTCTTCCTAGTGAGGGAACATTAGTCACAATAACTGGGAATTCTTTAATTATAGTTCCCAAATATCTTGTAGTTGTTGGTTGTGGAAGACTGGATTAAGGTAGAGAAAAAATAAGGATCAAAAGTAAAGCAATGGAATTACCCTGCATTTAGCTTTGAGGATTCAGTGCCATTAACAAACATATAGGTGAACAGGACAGGATCTTAGAATAGGTAAGAATGTTTTTCAGGCTCTTCCCCAACCCCAGTAGAGCCCTGAGCAAAAACAATAAGAAACAACACATTTGAAATATAGAGATCTCTTATTTATTAACAGCCAAGAGTACTGTTTGGTCAAATACATCAATATTAAATCTGATTTCAAAAGAGGAGTAGAAGCGGCTTTGAAAGGACAGCACCGCTCAGAGGGTAATTCATAGGAATGAAGGGAATAGAAACAACACATACCAGAGTTACAAAGCCTTCTGTACTTTACACAAGCCCTTCAATCATAACAGTTACACAATTTTTTAAAACTTAGAACGTGGCCTCTTTCCAATGCTGGGCAGTTGATCTAGACATCTACATACTTGCTTATGCCAAAATGTGGAAAGGATGTTTAGAAGTTGGGAAAAAGATTGAATTATTAGCAAGATACAGTGGATGGAAGTACAGCACACAGCACTAACTGACAGTTCCAATATATTTGATATACTGATCAATTCTCAAGGACTGAGAAAAGGAAAATGAGGTGAACTTTCAGCTGCATGGAATGATCAACTGACATATTAAACATTTCATGGCTCTGCAACTGCCATATTGAATGCTCCTCTTCTCACTAACGTTCATAATTCAAAGTAGAAGAGATGTATGCAACAGCTCAGTAGGGATTAATATGATGAGGCTAACAGAGTGAGGCATATTTTAAAGTGTAGTGGATAAATGCATAACTTTATCAACACCACAACTACAAAAACACTAACTAGAAAACAAAATGGCCATCATGCCATTCTTGGGGAAAAATTGTGGCCTAGTTTTTTATTTGACTGTTCGGTGAGGTGAGGGCATTAAATCCAAATACATCTCCACAGGGTATTAGTAAAAAGAAAATTCACTGACTAGAAAACTGACTGGATCAACGTTCTCTATATTATTCTAGTTTGAACCAGTTAAGTATTAATATATCTTTTTCCTTTCTTGGATAAAATGAAAGTGATCCATTTAAATCAATATCTGAAATGATAATACTTTTCAGGGTGTTGGTTTAGTTATGTGAGGCAATTGTCTCTTCTAGAGAAACTACAGTTTTACTCAGCACAGTATGGGAATCAGAAAATGAGATACAGGTAGTATGAATGTCCTGTTTGGTGTAAGACAGACATCTAAGTTATATTCAAATCTATGAATCCCAAATAAGCATTTCTAACTTGCTAGTTGATACAATATTACTTTTTTATTATAAATAAATTGATTTACAATTCTGTTTCTCAATATTATTTTCCAAGGAATTATGTAAATGTTTTATTGTACATGAATGAAGAACACACAGTCCTCGACTTATAACCATTTGTTTAATGGCCATTCAAAGTTACAATGGCACTGAAAACAGTGAGTTATTATCAGTTTTCACATTTACGATCGTTGCAATCCCCATGGTTGTGTGATTAAAATTTGGGCATTTGGCAACTGGCATATATCTATGACATTTACAATGTCCCGGGGTCATGTGACCACCATTTGTAACCTTCCCAGCTGGTTTCTGTCAAGTGAAGTCAATGGGAGAAGACAGATTTATTTAACAGCCTCATGATTCAGTTAACAGCTGCAGTGATTTGCAGCAACTGTGGCAAAAAAGATCATAAAATGAGGCTTAACTATTTTCTTGCTTAGCATTGAATGTTTGGGGCTCAGTTGTGGTCATAAGTTGAGGACTACATGTAAGCAGATCATCTGTTGTTCTTTGTCAAAGACCCTAAATTCTAAGCCACTTATTACAAACGTTTGCATGCTTTTCTGGAAGTGAAATACCCTGTTACTCAGGAATAAGCAAAGGTGTGGACTATGGCTTTTGAAACATTGTCCCTATACAACATGCTTCATCTTTCAAGGTATCCCAGTGGCTTCTCTCATCTAATTATTGTTAACAATTGAGGCATCTCACCACTTCTATCACCAGTTGGTTGAAAGACATAGAAACTATTGAATTTTTAGAAGCTTTTCTCAGTTTTGTGCACTTCTGATATAACAGACAATATATCCCCTCACTCCAGCTTAAGTGTCTCGGGTTAATAGGAGTCATAATCTCACTTGCATACCTGGAGGGCACCAAACTGGGAAATATAACTGTCTAGGGGAATGTGAAAGCAGTGATAAGAAGACAAATAGTGGTAGAATATCTGTTTGTTCTAGATGTCTTTAAAACTTTTCTCCCTAAAGCAGAGAATTACTAAGGCATCAATTCTATATCCATTTAGCTCCATTAGTAAAAAATATAGGTGGTGGGTAAAATATACTGTATAGGGATTGCACTATAAGATCTTACTCATTTCCATACCTTTTTCCTCAGTTCTTATTTTATACTAAGATTTAAAAAAAAAACAAAATACTAACTTATAGCCAAAATTAAGAAGTGGAAATGAGCAATCTTGCCTCAACTAAAACTATTAGATAAGAACTGTGGCACTCTTTTTCTATAAATATTTGGTATAATCATGTATGAGAACCTAGTAATGCTTAACCCTTAGTCTTTTTTCAGATACAGTCATTAATAGGTAGTCTTAGAGGTGACCCATATTATTAAAATGATGGTTATCTTCCTGTAAAGGAGAGTTGTCCCTTCCCTTGGAACTAGAAGCACCTGCAAGATGCAAGATTTAAAACTATAGTAATGGGATGAGAAATCAATTTCAGCAAGTGCTATAAAAATATGGGTACAAAATCCTAATATTAGTATCAAAATGTCTGATTTTATTTTATTTTTTAAAGATGGGCATACTTTTGAAGGATTATGATCCTATCCAGAATTCGCTAACATAAACAAAATTTTGGCATAAAAGTTACATACATGTATTTTAATTCAGGATTACAAAACAAAATTTGTGTAGTTTATAGTTATTCCCCTTAATTTTGATTCTGCTAAAAATAGCTGGCAGTGTAATCAGCTTATAAATTCTTAGCAAGTCATCCAAATTTTAAACAATTATAGAATATGTCTAATAAATTGTAATGTTGCTATACCAAAAGTATTGTAAACATGTTTTAGGCCTTTGTAAAACTATTGTCAAACATTTTAAATCCAAGAGTAAATTTTTTGGATTAATGTATTTTTTCCATTTATAAAATGCTTCAAACTGCTTTCTAACAAACAAGAAACCTATTGCAATTGTATAATAAACCAGTTTGTAGCAAAAATGTAAACATGTTTTCAACAAAGCAAAATTATTACAAATTGGATAGTAGTAAATATAACCTGCTTCCAAGAAGTTTGTAGCAAATTTTCCCTAATACCCTTATTAATATCAAACATTTCATAAACATACATATTGTAAAGCACAAATTGTCAAACAGATAAATGCATAAGTAAAACTGTTGTAACCGTCCCCCCAGAAAAAATTAATTGAAAACAAACCAACAAACTTTATGAATAGCTTAATACGTTGGCTAATGTGTAACATACTATTATATTCTAGCATCAAACTGCAGGCTCTACAAATTATTGTTTTTAGTATGTAGAAGTTTTGTAATAAGATGGTTAGGATATCCTACATTATGTTTACTAACACTTTACATATGGAATCTACACATGTTACAATTTCAACTTGCCTAATCCTATTTTGGACAGTGTCAATAATTTAAGGAATATAACTGAAGTATTTCAGAATCCAGAAATTCTAATCTCACTCTTATCCTGCAAACCTATAACATCTTCTCAGAATCAAATAAGAATTGAATTAAATAAGATTTATTCCAGTTAAATGGATATAAATTCTAGCCTTAGTCATAACTTACATTATGAAATTTTAAAAAAACTTATTTTTAAACTAAGTTTTCAAGTGTTCTTATATATTTTTATCCAAGATCTAGTTTTATGAAGTTGTTTTATAATACAGTCTCCAAATTTTTTAAGTTATTGTAATTGGAGCTCATTTGCAACTTTTAGAAAATCTATTATTGAACATTTGTAGATATTGTTTACTATAGATTTCCATACAAGGTCTAATTTTCAAACATGGTAACACAGCAGCATTCAAAATGTGTATGAAATGATATCCCTTAAAGAAATTTAGTTTTGAACCTATAGTGGAATCAAATAAGGATGATTAACAGTTAGATTTATTTGGAGTCTGCTTGCCAAATTTGACAGATAAACTATTACTATTTAGTAATGGTTTTGTGTGTGTGGGGGGGGGGGAAAGGCTGTTTTTACATAAGGCTCAATTTTCAAATGCATGTCAAATCTGAAATATGTATCTAAATCTGCATAAATTGCTTTGTAAGTTTCGTGGTTGACTTATAGTAAATCTGTCACTTGTCTCCAATTACTAAGTAAGCATTCTTTCTTTTTTCACACAGTGGATTAAAAAGGTTTTTTTTTTTCCTCTCGGAGTTTTTTTTTTTCCAAACAAGAAATGGCTCTGAGAAAAGAGACAAGCTCACAGGTTATCTTCCCTCCCCCCCAATAGGCATATTCAGGGGAGCCTCACCCACACACTCCCATTTGCTTTGGATGGGAGATGGAATGGTTGCCGGAGTAATCGGCCCGAAAATGAAGGATATCAAGAGGTCTTTATCCCAATTGCTGCATCCACTTCATCTTCAGGTTGCAGAGTGTGCCACTGAGCAATAGGTCTCCTGGGATTGGCCAGCATATCAGACCAATGGCGCAGCTCAGTACCCGTGGCATTACAGCCTACAAAGATCTTCCCAATGGCCTCATTCTTGCCTAGTTTGTCGTAATCCAGCACCGTCAGGACAACTTGGACTTTCTGTAGAAAGAGAAAGGATATCAAGAGGTCATCAGCATGAAAAGTAATTGGAGGGATGTATGAATTCAACTGCCTTTCCTACCACTGTTGCCCATTGGCCATTTTTGTTTTTAACTTCTGTTCCTCCATCTTGAGTTCCAAACAGAGGTGTGCGGCTTAGAGCGGTCAGCTTTCAGGAATAGTGGCAGAGAGGGGGGTGGGGAAAGATGCTGGTTTGAATCCATCACTTCTTCTCTTTTAGCTTCACAATTATCTGAATTTCCAAGACCTTTAGCTTCCAAAGAGTTTGATCCTTCAGGTCAAGTAAAAGTTAACAGTGACAGATTAGTCAACAGTGGCTCTTGGCATTAAAGCATTATCCTGGAGCTTTGCAAAGGGTTACAGTTCTGAGGGTTTTCATTCTCTAAGACAGGGGTATCAAACTCAAGACCTATGGGCTGGATCTGGCCTGTGGAGTGCTTAGATCTGGCCTGTGGGGCTGCCCTGGAAACAGCGAAGGGCCTGGCCCACAGTGCCTCTGCCAGTGAAAGCAGAGCTCGGGAGAACTGTGCGGCCCTTCCAGGCTCCATTTTCACTGGCAGAGGGCTGCAGAGGATCCCCCCCAGCCCCATCTGGGCCAGCACAGGTGCCCCCTGGCATGAGTGATGTGCCCACTCCAGCTGGCCATGCCCACTCCAGCCATGCCCACCCCCCCCGAGCCGAAACACAACCTGATGCGGCCCCCAATGAAATTGAGTTTGATATCCTACTCTAAGACAACCAAATTATAATAACGAACCATGGCAAATGCCATGCCATTTTTTCAAACAAACAAGCTTGCAAAACAAACTAGCTCAAGGCCTTCAAATATAATGCATACAATAGTCCAGTAACTTTTGTTTTGAAACAAGTAATGCCAATTTTGGATAAATGAACGTGACTGGAAATAATTGGAGTATATTTTCAAGTGAAATGGGATTGCAGGAAAGGAAGATTTACCTGGATTTGTTCAAAAGGCACCTCAAAGCTGAAGGATTCATTATAATAGGGATTCAGTGTATTTTTCTTGATAGTTGTTTTCTTCTTCTTGATACGTTTCCCTCCCTGCATGAGATGGATCTTCACATATGGATCTTGGGTAGGTGACAAAGTAAAAAAGGTATGAAAATGCTTTAAGATTCTCTTACTCCTAATATCCTGATGAGAGAATTTAATTTTAGAGAATTTATTTTTAAAGCCATTTCTGGGAAAGTAACAAAGGGCAAAATAGGTTTATTTATCATATATATTTTCATTGTTGACATAAACAAATCTTCATGGCCAGTTTTAAAGCGTTCATTGAACAGGCAAACAAGAAAGAATGCTGCATATGTTCATTCCCGTATGTTGAAAAACTTTTGATCTAAATTAAAGGATCTGGCTCATTTCTTTCTTTAAAAAAAAAAAAAACTACGAAGACCCAGCTGAACTACGCAGTATTGAATTGGTAAGCGGCCTTTTTTGACCTTGCACCCAGGGACAATCTGAAATCTAATTCCCATTCCCATTCTTCATATGAATATTACATATATTCACAAGCTGTTGAGAATTGCATACTTCATTACTTCTCCTCACCTCTTTCCCCATGGGGAAAGACCAAGAAAAGTTGAAGCCAAAAATTAAGAGTGAATAGCAGGGGATTCAGAGTGCCCCCAAAGGGATCATATGGAACATTAAAATATTCAGCAATTAAAGTTAAATCTAATGGCTTAATTCTTACCTGAAAGCCCCCCCACGTCCATCTTTTTGAGATTTTTGGCTTCTAGTACAATCACTGTCAGTTTCCCAGCTGTAGGGACATATCGGAGTGAAAAACAAATGTCTCCCAACTTCTCATGCTATAAAGAGAAATGAACAATTATTTCAAAGCTAGGATGTATATTTCTCATAAGATCTTGATGCCATTGTCAAGTTCTTGATTACCTTTCAAGAAGTTAATTGATTACCCATGAGTTGGGTTGGTTATTATCCCAGTTACATGGTAGTTTTCCAAAGAAAAGCATTTCCCATTTCTAATATATATAAAGCCACTAATGCAATTTTCAAACTACCTTTCAGTTAGAACTTTTTATCTAAAGTTCTGCACAATTTCTTACCTCCTCCTTCTCTGCTGACTGCAGATCTCGCCATTCCTCGATCACATGCGCCAGGTCCACGGTGTTCATGGGGATACGGATCTCACCAATGACATCATGCTTGGAGAAACGGTCAAAGTCATAGACGGCCATGACGAGAATTTTACCACCAAGCTCTGAATAAGGGACCTATGCATAATGGAGATGCAGAATTAAATTGTGGGCACTTTCGATTGAGTGTTTGTTGGTAAGTAAGGGGTTAGAGGTGTGAAATGAAGGGAAGTTCCACAATGGATGAGGGGAGACCAGAGCTAAAAAGGAAGAATGACAGGGTTCATGTATTTGTGTATTTTTGGAACTTTGGCCAAGAGAAAAGAAAAATGAACTTACTTTAAAAGTGAAAGATTCATTAAATGTAGGGTTGAGAGTTTTGCGATGGACTTTGGTTTCAAACTTTTTCTTCTTCTCTGGAAGCAGGAAGACTTTGACGTAAGGATCGGAGGTACCCCCAATGTCCAGCGCTGGGAGATCAGCAGCTTGTATAATACCCACAACCAACTGGGGAAAAGGTTTAAAATGAAAATATTCAAATTTAGGAAAATGCCTTCCATTGAACCAAATCATTGGTCTATCCAACTCAGATTTCTTGGTTCCTCTGAGTACATTTTGACAAGCCAGAATTTCCTTAAACACCTTTAAACATGTCATCACCTTACTCTATCCACAATATTTAAAAAGAATCTAGATGAAGTTATCTTTAGATTAATTCTAATCTTTCTATGCTAACTATAACTTGTTCTTTTTCTCCCACCCATTAAGGAGGTAAAGTATTTTGTGATAGAAATTGACCACTAAAAGCAGCTAAGGTGATAGGAAGAAACTGATCTTTTCCAATTATTTTTTGGAAAAGATATGAGCTGGGGTTAGAACCTGGGACTTTAAAAAAAAAGGAATATATTTTGCTGAATTCCTGTATGACTTTTCCTTGCACCCTTAATTTCAAATGTTGCCCATAGGATAGGATGAAAGGACTGTAATTTCTGTAGATAAGTAATACAGTTAATGAAAGTAAATTGCCTAACTGTCCTATTTTATGGAAATAATCCTTCATTTGATAGAATCCTTTTGGAAATCTGAAAATCTAGTTCAAGTTTTAGAAGAAGAGACACTGAAAATGCTCATCCAGAATTGGCAGAAGAATGAGGACAGTGGCCTGGTCACCATCTTTCCCATTATAGAAAGTTCTATTGTACTTCCAATTATTTCTCCACATGTATTAATATTCATAAATCAGAATGTGCAAGTAACTTTCTTTTATTGACAATGCATTTATTATTTTCTGGGTGGTATTTGACCAGGAACACGAAGATCAGTCTGCAACTGTTTGAAGCTGAGGCACGTGTTTGTCTTGCCCACCTGTGTGCTCTGGAAGTCATAATCAAGGGAGTACTGGAGCTTCCCCAACTTCTCCTCTGGTTTCTCCACTTCAGATTCCTGTAACAATGATGGATCTAAATCCTCAACCTCTGGCTGTACCTGGAAGGAAGGAAAGAAGGAAATAGTCAAGGGAAGCATTAGGAGTAAGGTAGATGAGCAATGTCTGCAGCAACTTCTGTTCACCTTTTCTCATTATTTATCCAATTTTTAATCCTCCATATATGTTGAGATATCACATCTCAGAATGTGAGTGCCATCCTGCCTGACAATTCTGATGGTTATAACCCTTGAAAGGCATCAAGGATGGGGAAAAGCTGGTTTCGTTTGATCAGATATTATATGGGCACTAATACAAGCATTCGGTCAGTGCTAGGTTGTACAGGCTCCTACATCCTCATAAACTACTCTTTCTGAATTTTCCCTTTCATCATACATAAATCTATCAGACAATGATGATATTAACAAATGGAGGTTATTCAGATGCCAAACCCTTCAATATTTTAATGTCTGTTCTCCTGCATGGATGGCAAGTTTCCTCTATTCTGGTGAAAAAAAGAGACTACTTAGTATGAGAGTCTTGTAAGCAATGAGAAAATATACAATAGCAATGGGAAAAAAGACATCACACATGGAGGAGGCAACCTAATATTCCAACTAACACTGATCAGATGAATCAGTGTAATTATTGAATGAATCAGAACAAATAAAAAATGGAGGAAGAAATACTTTGTCACTGGTAGCAATGCAAAAAAAAATAGTAGAGATGATGCTTGAATAAAACTGTTGATTCCCCGATCCCCTCAGAGTCAGCTTGCCTTAATATAAATAGAATTTTCAAGATATTGACATTCTAGTCTTTGACGCTATGGTTTTCTTCAATGGAAGAAGAAGCTTTTTTGTAATGTCTAGCATTCACACATCTTACAATCACCAGTTAGCTGCTGTCTGGGCAAAAGAATCCTCAAAATTGAGCTGTATTTCCTATTCTCTTTATGAATGTCTCTCAACCTCAGTGACTTAAGATTTGTGGAGAATTCTGGGAGATGAAGTCCATTCATCTCAAAGCTGCTAAGGTTGAGAAACACTTTTGTAATATCAGGCCTGTATTTTTCCCCTTGTAAATATAGAAGCCCAGGAATTAATGGTGTGAGACTGAGAAAATATTATGCAACAGACTTAAACAGCTCCTCCTTTTTGGTGGTTTGACCACTGCAAAAACTTCTACAATTCATGTTCATCTTTTGCTTTGACAAATGGATCTGCATTCAGAAAAATCCATGAGTCAGGTGATTCTATCTGTTAATGGTAGCCTCCTCTACAATGTTGGATTTGAGATGGGGGAAAGGTCAGACTTCCAAGAAAAATGATGAGGATTCTTCCACCTTCCATCTGCCTAGTTTTTATTTCTAATAAGGTCCAGTTCCCTTCCTTCACAATTCTGAATTCAGTCCTCAAAAATGTGCTATACTTAACTCTGGGTGATATTTGGGAAACAGCAGACATTTTCTCAAGTCTCTGCATTTGACCCACTACCCTCTTCTCAGGGTATTGATTTTATAGCATAGTTTGAAGTCTGCATGGTGGGGACAGGTTCATTCAAAGGACAAACTCTGGCCTTTTATGAAGATCAGCCCCAAACACACAACCTCTAATCATTCATAAATGGTTGTGAAGTCAGGGAGGTTCCCTTATGCAAGATACGTAAATCCTCAGGTTGGGGAGCTGTAGGGGAAAAACTCACTGCTCACCTTATCAATGTAGCTTTTGCCCAACTCCTTCACTTCCTTCATGTTGATCTGTGCCTTGACTTTGTCTTTACCTTTCTTCCCTTTCTTCTTCTTGCCACAGCATTTTTTAAAAACACAGAAGCAGCAGCAGAGAAGCAAGAGGCCAGCAACAATGAGAATGGTGGCCAAAGCCCATGGAGGTACTAGAATGGACGGAAAAGGAGACCAGTGAAAGGAAATGCCACTGATTCTGGAGCAAAGAGGTTGCTTCGTGTTATATTATTTCCTACGTAAATTTGATTTTTCCTAATTATCACTAGGAATATCTAATGGGTCTTGGGTGATCTCAGACTGATCTTAATAGGGTCAGATCTGACTAATATATGATTGAGTATTGAAGTCAACACAAGAACTGGCAGCTGTGACTTCACAAAGTTGTATATATAATAACGATAATCTATTTTATCTGTCAGCCTAAACATCTAGCTGATTGTTTGTGGAATCCCACATTTTATGCAGCAAAATCTTCTTGTTGATTGAGAAATCAAATGAATCTATAGCAAATATTGGCTATATGCTGCAGTAGAAGTATGGAAGGAAGATGAAGGTAGTCCTGCTTGACAGGGAAATGGAGTGTACCATTGCAAGTTATATTTAAATAGTAAAAAGTTACAGCAAGTAAATGAAGTGTTGCATCTTGATGACGATGTACTAATCATAGGAAGATGGGTGAGAAATGTCAGGATGTTAGGATGTGAAAATGCTGGCTAAAAGTTAATGGATAGTAGTTGGTCTCCCACAAAGAATGGATTTTTGACAAAATAAGTTCTGCCTTCTTTGTTATAAGAAAAAGAGAGGGGTACATAAGAAGAAACATAATAGTGTGTTATCTACAATGGAAATAGAGTATTAAAGAAGTGTCACATAAGGGCCTGAACAAGGCATGCAAGACATTCGTCTTATTGGCCTTTAACATTTAATTGGTCATAGCTTGTGCATTTTCTAGCCCTGCTTCATGTAAAATGTGCAGTGTTTGAATTGTAAGCCACCCAGAATCATTGACTCAGCTGGTTAGAGAAAGAAATAAAAGAAAGAGAGAGAGAGAGAGAGAGAGAGAGAGAGAGAGAGAGAGAGAGAGAATGAATAAAGGAAAAGGAAAAAAGAGAAAGGAAAAAGAAAGAAAGAAAGAAAGAAAGAAAGAAAGAAAGAAAGAAAGAAAGAGAGAGAGAGAGAGAGAGAGAGAGAGAGAAGGAAAGAAAGACAGACAGACAGAAAGAAAGAAAGATAGAAAGAAAGAAGGAAAGAAAGAAAGAAAGAAAGAAAGAGAAAACTGATTTGCAACAACTGCACAGCCTGTAGCTTTGGTAGCCCAGGAAAGAAGTTTTAGGGAATTATAAAAGATAGCCTTATAAATAATCAGTATTAAAAATAAGGCTATGTATAATAAAGTATTGAGAAATCCAGGCCACTTGATTCAAATAAATCAGCTTTGGTAGTGTCAAGTGGATTCACCATCCAGTTTGAAATGTGATATTGGAAACAGCCTAATTCCACCTACTTGGCAGTTTCCCCAATTTGTTCATGAATTTATCTTTCATGTCTGAAAAAACGTTCTCCTTGGAGGGCATCTCAGTGGCATTGATGGAGGGCTCCATCTGGGATTCTGTCACTTCCGAATCTATCCTGGCTGACCTCCGTGCTGCATTCATTGTGGAATCTGGAAAGTGAGAATGAAAAGGCCCATAACTTATGTACTCCCTTGACAATTGCTACAGGTTTAATCTTAATCTTTGATTTTTTTTCTTCTTTTAAAATTAAAGAGGGAAGTGTCTTTACAAGAGTATCTTCTCCCTGTTCCTCATAATCCTTTTTTCTTGAAATGACATTTTTAATTTCCCCCTGTTTCTATAGAAGGAGGAAACAAACAACAAGAGGAGGTAGTGTTTATTAGGATCATTTTATATGACTAAGATGTCTGGAGGTTGTTCTGTTTCTTATTTTCTTCTCATTGTTTCCTGTCAATGGCCCAGTAAACCAGGGTATGTTTGAAGTCCCAAACACTGAAATGTTTCCTGGCATTATATTTAAATTGGCTGCTTTATTTCTTGTAAAAAAATTTAAAAAAATAAATCCTGATGGTTTTTAAAGTACTGAAAAAGACATTAGATATAGGCAGTCCTCGACCTACAACAGTTTGTTTAGTGATAATTCAAAGTTATAGCGGCACTGAAAAAAATGACATGATCATTTTTCACACTTATGTTGTTGTGGCATCCTCATGGTTACATGATCAAACTTAAGATGCTTGGCAACTGACTCATATTTATGACGGCTGTAGAGTCCCTGGGTCCCGTGATCACCTTTTTGACTTTCTGATGAACAAAATCATTGGAGAAACCAGATTCGCTTAACAACTGTATTATTTACTTAACAATTGCAGTGATTCACTTAACAACCGTGGCAAGAAAAGTTGTAAAATGAGGCAAAACTCACTTAACAAATGTCTCATTTAGCAACAGAAATTTTGTGCTTAATTGTGGTCTTAAGTTGAGGACCACCTGTAATGGAAAGAACAAAGAGTAGATTTGCTGCTGTTTTGGGATGCAACAATACTGAAGAACTGCAATAACTTTGTAATATCTCTCTATGTGGCTTGGTCCTAATACCATATTTGAAACAATTATAATAGAACATAGGAACAAAGCAACAGAGGAAAGAAGATTGAGTTCTACCTTGCATTTTTTTTCAAACTTGCATTTTGATAATAACACCCAAAACCTTTTATCACTCCTAGTTCTGGTACCAAGAAGTATTCTGCTATTGGGGTGCAGGATTAAATAATAGTAATAGTCTCATGAACCATGAAAGTCTTGGGCTTAATACATCTTCAATTCTTATGGTCCTCCCTCTCCTTTTTCAATGAAGAGGTTTATATAACTTTCAACATTCTCCTAAAAATTCAAGAGATCCTTTAGAGCAGGGGTAGTCAACCTTTGTATACCTACCGCCCACTTTTGTATCTCTGTTAGTAGTAAAATTTTCTAACTGCCCACCGGTTCCACAGTAATGGTGATTTATAAAGTAGGGAACAAAACCCCTACCACCCACCATGAAAGCTGGAACGCCCACTAGTGGGCGGTAGGGACCAGGTTGACAACCACTGCTTTAGATGAAGTTAGATTTGTCCATTATTTGCTCTAAGCCATTATGGCAACACATCTAAAGCTACAACTTCAAATTATTATTGTGCACAACACAAGAGATATTCTCCAACACAAGGGGGCTTTCAAATAGTGGATTGAAATTCCCATCATCCTTAATGATGGTTGCAGATATGGGTTTTACCAACACATCTGAAAGACACCAAGTTGGGGATGTTTATCACAGTAAATTTTATTTTCACCCACTTCTTTTTAGTTCATTTCCAATGTTTCTTCATTTTGGCTTCATTTTCCATTCATTATTGCTACAATTCATTCCTCTCTCTCTCCTCCTATTTCAATTGAGTTCTAAATCAGCCCCTGCTGCCTATATCTAAGTAACATACATTTGCTCCTCCCATTCTTGACCAGGAAAATAGACCTACTAAGTTTCAGGGAGCTTAAGAACTGTTCATTTTAGAGCCAATTTTAAAAAGGAGACAACCTTGAATTCAACTTAGTAGAGTTTTCTAACTTATCAGCTGGCCCTGGTTTTTTCTCATCTTCTCACAATGACCTTTCCACGAACTGTACACTTTGCTTCATGTTGTTCATTTAGTCCAAACAGTGTCTCTTACGTAAAACAAATTAAAATAAACAGGAAGGAATGGCACGAGAGGCGAGAGTTATTAGCACAAATGAGACGCCTGGCTGTTCCCATTCAGCTTTGCTCTTCCAATCACTTTAATTATAAAAATGAACAGAGCTTCTTTTCTTTTCTTTTTTTCCCTTCCTTCCTTGCTTTCTTTTTACTCTACCTCAGTCAGCCCAAAAGACCACACTGAATTCAACCCTCTCTGCTTGTTTGCCAGCTCACCTGTCAACCTACTCAACCAGTCTGCTCCTTGACCTCATCTGTCCAAAGATATCTTTCCTGGAATACAATTTCGACCTAGATCCCAGTTGCACCAGGCATGTAGAAAACCAAATGACAGAATAAATTATCCATGACGAACTTTCCACAAGTTACGCTTTTTATTGACCTTTAAAACACTTAAACAGTCCCCATTTGTTTTTTGAAGCATTACAATCTGTGGTACAGATTTACTTCCTCATCTCTTCTTTGTGAGAACGTAACTGCATTGCCTTGAGCATTAATGTCTGTCAAGATTGGCACTTTTTAAATCAATGGTCTGGCGCCAATGCATCCATTCATTTGCTAAATGGAAGCCCTTCGAGCTTCTGATTACATTCCTGTCAAGCACAGATGTGTGTTTCCCCTGTGGTTTGTCTGTACAATATACACATCCAATTTCAATAATTCCCTTCTCTTCCACTGATTTATTCCAATTGTCTTACAAGCTTCCAAGTCTTCCAAATACCATATTCAGTCCTTGTATTGCCCATTTTGATTTAGTCTTGTTGCAGCTGTTATATTGCAACAGAGTGCCCAAGATTATCAAAGCCACCCTTGTCATGAAGACCACGTCTAACCCAACTGCTCACAGATCCTTCATCTTTCTAAAAGATGCCAGGAGAAAGAAAAGGTTTAAGAGGGGACACTCTGCTACTAGAGCTTTTTAGCAGTTTTCCTCAAACAACATTGGAAGCTAAGGTTCACCGGAGAGAGTGGAATTGTGTTTTTTTTCTGAGAAGCAACAGAGTATGTTTCTGTGATGGAAGGCAGATGCCTTCATGAACATTCAGACTTCCAGAAACATGCCTGCAGCTATTTAGCAATTTGGAGGCCAGAGATCCCATAAAGAACAGAAGGGCCAAAGGCAACAGAAGAAACAACTGGCAAGTCTAATGTCTCTATATAGTTAGTTAAGCCAAAATTCTGATGGATGAGTGGAGAGCAAGCATTGTCTAGCTAATGTGAAGTTAAGAAAAATTTTCCATGCAGGGCAGGAGGGAATAATTAAATTAAACAAGCATCTTGTTAATGGAGGAGAAAAACTAAAAAGAACATACAAATAAGCAGTAAAAGAAACACACACACACACACACACACACACACACACAAAAGTAGAATCCCTAAAGCAAGCAAAGAACAATTTTGAAAAACAGAAAGATTTTGTAATATAAATTCACTGTAAATCAGGGGTGGGATGCAAATATTTTTACTACCAGTTCTGTGGACATGACTAGGTGGGTGTGACCATGTGACTGGATGGGTGTGGTGGCTTCTTTTTTTTGTAGCACTCCCTCATGCTCCATTTTTTGGCTTTCTGGGCCTTAGGGAAGTCTCTTGGGGGGCGTTTTTGCTCCCAGGAGGCTTCCCTGAGGCCAGGAGGCCAAAAATGGAACACGGGAGGGGCGTGTGGAGGTGTGTGTGCTGCACACACCCCTTGCTCCATTTTTTGGCCTCCTGGGCCTCAGGGGAATCTTCTGGGCAAAGTAGTAAGTCAGTACAGGGGATCCCAGCACAGCTGCTCATTGGAACAGCTGATCATTGGGAGGAAAAAAAATACCTTAAGGAGTGATTGGGCGGGGGAGAATGCAGTCAGCAATGTTGGGCATGTGTGCAATGTCGCGCATGTGCAGTAAGGACTGACTGGGTGGGGAGGGGAGGAGAGAGGAGGGGAGGGGCGCGCAGAGAGGGGCAGGGCCAGCCAGGGGCATGATTTGCCAGTTTTCCGAACTGCGCAGAATCGTAACAACTGGTTCTATAGAACTGGTCTGAACTGGTAGAATCCCACCCCTGCTGTAAATAATAACTCACAATCTGAACAATTAAAGATTTTAGCTGCTAAATTATTGCTGATACACATTGGATAAATGAGAAGGCCAAAGAATACCAAAAAATATCACAATGAAGCATTATGAAGATGATAAAAAGGCTTTTGATTGTGTTGATCATATCAGGCTGTGAATGTGTTTAGAAAAATAGAGATCCTGGAATATCTCCTCATACTCTCATCTTTCCTATTACCTACTCCTACTGGCATTTTATGACTATGACGTTGTTGGTTATATCTTATGATTTATGATTTATCACTTTGTTGCTTGTATGTACACTGAGACTGTATGCACCGGAGACAAATTCCTTGTGTGTCCAATCACATTCCATTCCTGTTCCTGTTCCTGTTTTCTATTCTGTTCTGTTCTGTTCTGAAATAGATTTGCTCCAGATTGGCAAATGCACAAGGCAAGACTATGTATTCTTCCTTATTTATTTAGTTTATATGCTGAAAATGTTTTAAAGGGAGTGGGATAGGAAGAAGATGAGTGTGGTTTTAAAACTGAAGGAAGAACTTTGTTATAGACAACATTTTTTAACAGCTATAAATGTAAAGATTCTGCAAGCTCTAGTAATAAAAGCCAAGGAGTACAAGTGAAAAATGGGGCTATAAAGAAATCCAGACTAACAACAGCAGGTATAACATCCAACCTGACAAGGAAGATATTGAAATGGTAAATAGCTTTTGATTTTTAGGTTCAGCTATCAAGTCAAGAAATATTCCCAGAGTAGCACTTGGTAGAGCAGCCATGAAGGCCATGGAAAAGATACACAGATGCTCCTAATTCAGGGGAGTCCAATCTTGCCAACTTTAAATCTTATGCCCATTGGCTACCAAAATTCCCCAGCCAGCATCTTTACATTTTTGGCTGTTAATGTCATCTATATAGCAAGGTTTTTGATGGTAACTGAAGTCCATAGGTCTTAAAGTTGCCAAGGATGAATGTAAAGTGTCTGCACCTACAAAGATCAGAATACTGCAAGCAACGGTGTTCACTGTGACATTCTGTGGAAACAAAAGTTGGATTTTGAGGAAGCAGGATTGAAAAAAATAAAGATGCTTTTGATGTTGGGAAAAGCTCCCGAGAATACCACGGATAGCAAAAACAAACTGCTTATAGAAATCAATCCAGAGATATAAGGCTCATGTTAAACCACTTTAGACACACTATGCAGGAACCCAGGTCTTTGGAGAAGGCTTTAATGCTGGGAATGGCAGAAGGAAAGAGAAGAAGAGAATGACCAACAGCCAGGCAGGTGGACCCAGTTAGAGTGACAATGGGTGCACCGTTGGAAGACCTGAAGGACCAGGTAGGGACAAACAAATCACCAAGGGAAAAATATATCTGGGTGGTTGCTAAGACTCAGAAATGACTCGAGGGAACATAATTTCTAAAAAGACTATTCATAAAATGATTGTTCCCCACTAGCCGATGCTTCTTGATTGCCTGGCTTATTGCCATTAATATATATATATATATATAATAATATACCATTATTCCATGATACATATTTTCTTTCTTCAAATCAGTGCTCCCCAAACTCTCTGGTATGGCGGACTGGTGGGGGAGGGGAAGGCAGGTAGGTGCATGAGCGTGTACACAAGCGTATGCAATTCCATTTGTGTAAGTGGTGGGTGTGCACACACTGCTTCCACAAATGGAACTTTGCATGTGAGCGTAAGTGGAGCTGCATGCATGCATGTGCTTCCCAGTTACTTGCACGACCCAGCTGGGGACCCCTGCTTTAGCTGATCTAATGTTATTTCAGAAAACTCCCCCCCCTCCACAATGTAATCCTTGCTGAATTGTGGTTGGGTGACTATTCTATGCATGAGTTCACATATCATACTATTGTCAACCGTGAAGCTGTCCTGACCGAAGCCATTTTATCCGCTTCAGTGTTGCCACACTGGAGCTGAGGGTCAGGGAGGGAGGATTTGAGATAGAGGGAGTTTTGTAGCCAAAACAAAATATTTTCTCTTGGGAACCAAGGAAGAAGGCGGAGTGATGCCACCTGGTTGTTGGACTGCACGGTGATTGGACCATGTGACTGTTTTGAGAAAATAGAAAATATTTTACTTTTAATGAGGTGAAAACTGACTCCAAAACTCCCACAGTTTTCACCTCATATGTGCCAATATGATATTTTCAATGAAAGTAATGTCTGAGGAACTCAACAGCCTCAGAGTCTTGCTTGCAATGGATTTATCACTTGGAACCCTGACAACTATGCTATAAAACATGCTTAACAGATCACAGTAGCTAAGTTCACAATACTTGCCAGGCTAAACCATAACTTAGTAATAACTTAGTGCAGTAGGTAAGTTCGGAAGGCAAGGACTTGCACATGGAGAAATGCATCTCCACCCCCACCCCCAAATGAACCATAGCATAAGTGTGTATGAGTGTGCACACATGTGGAAGTGGAGCTGTATTGTTTGAATTAGCATACCGTATTTCCTAAGAATAATAAGTCACAGCTTGAATCTGTTATTGGGTTTTGGCTTAGCCTGATGTATAAATCACAGGTGTATTCTTTCTTTAACATTTCTGCTGTTGTTCCTAATTTGGTTTTATGGGCTATACGGCATATCTGCAGAGTTTCAAAGCCCCAATGGCTAAAAAGGAAGGAGAACCCATCAGGCACTGACCAAACAAACCATTATTGGTTTGCCTAACTGCAAATCTGTGGCAGAACTCACAGAACATGCTAAGGCAGAAGACAGTTTGTTTCCTTGTTTCTGCTTTAGTGTTTTATGTGAATGTTGACATTGTAGTTTATAAATCATGACTTAGAACCTATTATTACACATGCTTGACAGCCTTGGCTTCTTTAAGAAAACAGTGGCTAAGGCAGTGACTTAGCATGAGATGAGACAAGAAAGCAATATTTAAAAACTGAACATAAACAAGCTGAGTATAAGAGTAAAATCACTGGATAGGAATTGTGTGCAAACAGATTTTGGCTCAGTATTAAAAGAAATGCCTAAAGTGTTTTTTTTTTTTGGCATAAGAACAGATTGAGTTTCTTCCATTGGAGATAATTAAGCAGACACCAGATAGTTTTCTGTCAAGGATGCCATGATTTTTTTCTGAATTATAAATCCCTAACTGAGAAAAAGGCTAGACTCAATGACCTTCATGATCCCTGCCAAATTCGTCAGCCTATGGTTCTAGTTGTTCATTGTCATGCTAATTTGCTAAATATAAGATAAGAATGGAAAAAAAGGTTGTGTTCCATTATATAGGACTGTGATGGTGAACCTTAGGCATATGTGCCAGAAATGACACCCAAAGCCATCTCTCCGGGCATGCCAGCCATCTCCTGTTGCTCTTCTGGGTTCCAGCGTGCGAATGTGTGCTGGTCAGCTGGCCTTCACGTGCACATACACACCAGAAACCAGAAGACCAGGTGGCCAGTGTGCATGCGCACACCAGAAACCGGACCTCAGCTTCCTGGTGTGCACATGCACACCAGGGAACTGCTCTTCTGGTTTTTGGTGCTCCCATGCACGTGTGGTGGGGAGCTGCTCTTCCAGTTTCTGATGCTCCCACACGCAGACGTGCATGCTCCTGTTTCAGCACTCAGTGCCAGAAAGGTTCGCCAACACTGATACAGGATAAACATTTTGCATCTTTTTCATTTTAGTGAAAGATAAGTCAAAACCTCTGTTTTACTCTAAAGGAGCATCAGATGAAACAGCATCTGGTTAGGAGAACTAAGAGAAATCTGAGATTGGTGCCAGGAAAGTGGCAATACAATGATGAACATGCTTTATAAATATATTTGGAGGAATACTGTAATATATTAGTGAGGACCCTTGTACTGGACTTGGACTGCACTAAATAAAACTGAATTGAATAGCAAGGGCACACTATTATAGTAAGGACAGCTTTAGTTACAAAAATCAACAACATAGATAAGCAACTATAAAAAAACAGTTCCATTGGTTTTCTCCGATATTGCAGACTTCTCCCAGATTTGCCTGCAAAATTATCCCAGAGTGTGAGACTGAGGGTGAAGCTGAACTGGAAACCAAACAAAATGACTGCATAAAAATGAAGAAATAGTTAATGTTTGTTTGAACGGCGGCTGTTTTTTTTCCATGAGAGCCTGCGTGGTGAGCTACAATACCCCTAAGTGGTTTCTTGCTTTCTCTTGTGTGCAAGCATTCAAACACACCTCTTTCACATAGCTTCTCTCTATTATGGCAAGCCAACACGCAGCTCAGGAAAGCTGCCAGAATGGGGAGGGTGGGGAGGAGGAACATTGGAAGAAAGGAAGGTGCAACTGCCATGGCTCTCTGCTCTACAAAACATAGTGGCTGCTTGTTAATTGGATGTAACATCTCTCTGGATATTTAACAGAAGAGCAGCAACTTGAACAAACAAATAAATTAAATAAATAAACGAAGCCAACTTAAAGAAGGTGGGTGCTGCGGTCCCAGGTGATGAAGAAGCATCTTCAAATAATAGAAGGGGACAGTGCTCAGAATTTCAGGACCTTGGACAGAGGCACCACCGAAACCTGATTGGGATTAACTGGAGAACCAAATTCCTCTCCTCCTAAATTCTCTCTCCCTCCCTCCTTTTTAAACTAAATCCTACAAATCCACCACATCCATCATCTCCTCTGATTCAGTTTTCTTCCAAAGCATACTCTGAACACACCACTTCCACCATTAATTCAGTAGTAGCCCTTTGCTTCTGGTTTTGACAAATCGCTCAGAAAGATATCCTTTTTTTTGCCCCCTTCTCCGCCATCAATCCCCCCACCACCACCTCCAGAGACCTTTAGCGTGGGTATGATTTCCATCCTGAATAATTAACAAGAGACAACAGAGCTGGGTGCAAAGGACCAGAAAACTCAAGGGGACAGCTATTTCAGATGATCTATACCACATGCTTGTCTCCATTTCAACCAATCAAGCTGACAGATCTACTTTTTCTTCTTCTTGGATAGCCACATTCATCTTCTGTCAAATAGGTCAGGATGGACTCAGGACCTTATAATAAACACTACAAAGAAGAATCTCTTCTGTGCAAACCAACTTGACCTAATCATTGCTCTTTTTCAAGTAGTATCGTGTCAGCAATGTTTCAGCTTGAGGCATTCGGCTTCCTTTTTACTTCTCTCAGCACCTACCCCCATCCCCAAATTCTTCCTAGGGTCATGAGGATGAAGGCTATGATCTGTCTCTCAGCACCAATCACTTGACTTGCTCTGCTGTCTGCATTGATTGCAGATGTTGTTGATCCATTGATTGATTGATTTGTGTGTGCAATTGTATGTATATGTTACATCTGGTTTCATGTAAAAAAATCCCAAACAATTTAAAGCCAATAAATAGTAAATAATGAAACAGGACTTATTTTTTGAGAGCTCCATTGTTGACCCTTCGTCATTCTAAAGGTAGTCCTTCACTTTACTACAGTACATTTAACGATTGTTAAAGTTACAAAGGTACTAAAAATCTACAATGGTATCTCGGTACTTGACTGCTTTCAAACTCTTTGAATTTGATACTTGACGCATTTGGCATGAACATTTTGTCCCAGTACTCGTTGTTTGTTTGGTACTCAACATACAAGCTAGAGTTAGTCAGAGTCAGTTGCCTCTGCCTCATTACCCTTCCCAGCCAAAATAAAGGGTCATGTGTTGGTCACCTGGCTTATTTGGTATTCATTTTTAGGACTCGTACCTCCTGGAACCAATTAATGATAAGTTTCTAGGTACCACTATATTGAAAAAATGTATAATTAATGACACAAACAGAAGAAGCAACTAGTGGCAGACCTTCTTAGCAAGATAATGTTCATCAAATCATGAAGAGTCAGAAGTGACAATTATATATTTGTTATTTCATATTTGCAGGGCTCGCTGTATTATTGTAAAGCTAAGCTAAGCGACAAGAAGATATAATTATTGTGGTCAAGCTAAATCAAATGTGACTAGGTTTAAACTGCTGTTTGGGCTTGAATGAATACAGGAAGCCTTCCACTTACAAGCATTTGTTTAGTCACTGTTTAAAGTTACAACCTCAATAAAAATAGTGACTTATGACCAGTTCCCCTCATACTTATAACCATTGCAACCATCTGTACAGTCATGGAATCAACATTCAGTGCTTGGCAAACTCCATGTATTTATGACAGTTTCACCATCCCAGGGTCATGTGATCAACATTTCTGATCTTCCCACAAGCTTGTTTCTAACAAGCAAAGTCAAGTGGGGAAGGCTGAATTTGCTTAACTACCACATGGTTCACTTAACAACTGCAATGATTTGCTTAACAACCATGGCAAAGAAGTTTACAAAATCGGCCATGACATACTTAACAACCTCCTTGCTTAGCAACAGAAATTCTGGACCCACTTGGGGTTATAAGTCAATATGTAATGAGGTGAAATAAAATTTAGTATAGCGTGTCAAGTAAACATATAAATAGTAGTAGTTTCTCATACTTTTTCCTATGAAGAACTATTGGGTCAGAAGAGAAATCGGGTTCCTGGAGACCTTGTGGGAAGAAAAAGAGCTTAGATGAGGCTCTATAGGATTGAGTTTAACCAGAAATAAACATCTTTTGTTTTAACCAGAAATAAACATCTTTTGAAGGTGCTGCTCGACAGGAATCTTTAACTGGTTGATTTTTCTTCTTCTTTAATTATAACCTTCCAACTCTTTCCATTTTTGGTAATTTTGAAGTAGGGGGAGAAAGCAACTTTGTCTAGAAATTTGAACCAGAACAACTTTTAAAAATCAAACTGTACTTGTTAGGTCCACCTAATTGATGCATGCTGTTTTGTGAGTGCCACTATTAATAAGACAATTATCATCCTTTATTCTTTCCAAATTTTATTTCCCTTTGAGCTCACTGTTAATCGTTGTCTTCCCACTCAATGGTGAATGGATGGATACACATACATTCCATCTAAGAAGTAGACTAAAGTCTGTGAAGACTTATGTATTGTAAATATATTCATCCCCAAAGGTTTTCTTGTTGCTTGTGACAAACTAGCCCACCCATCATTCTGCAATCTGAAAGTTTATATAAATATCCTTGTTCATGTCTCAGCAGGACAAGACATCTGATGGCACTTGCTACACAAGGTTTGGAAGTATGCAGGATTAAATCTGGGTCTTACATGGATGGGAGATTACCAGATCTGTAGGCAGAATGGCAAGTCAGAAAACCATCTCCGAAAAAGGCAGTGTGACTTCATACTGTTGCATGCCTCTGAAGTCACCAGGAATAGAAGAAGGCTTTAAGCAAGTATTCAATATTTTCACCTTATTAGAACTGCAGCCCCTAGGCTTTATTTCTTTTGTGAAAGATGAAGTGGCCCCCAAATAGATGCAAATCTTAGTAAATATTGCCACACGCTTTGGGAAGAAAACCCCTGAGTTTGGTTCAGCAGGAGTTGGTACATTCTAACAACTCTCTGACTGATTTTCTCTGACTGATGAAGCTGCTTGGATGAGCAGTGAAACAAACCAACAACAAAAATTAGTTTGAGTGCAATGACTCAACCTTCAGAAAATTCTGCCTGGATGACTGAGAATCTTCATCGACATAACAACTCTCTTCTTAACGTCTGTGGAGATTTTCAGTTATCCAAGTCATGGTTGTCGCAAAGATGCTTTTTTCAAGAGGCAACTGGACCTTCTTGTTTTTTCGTTGAAGATGTTTGACTTCTCATCCAAGAAGCTTTTTCAGCTCTGACCGGATGGTGGGGAATGGAAGGATTTATAATAAGCATTTGCAAATCCTTCCATTTCCCACCATTCAGTCAGAGCTGAAAAAGCTTCTTGGATGAGAAGTCAAACAACTTCAAAGAAAAAACCCAAGAAGGTCCAGTTGCCTCTTGAAAAAAAAAATCTTTGGGACTTCTCTTCTTAGGAATTAATTAGTGCCCATACTTCTTCTACCTGGACATCATCCCGAGAATTGTGTTTGCACTTTGGTTTGGTTCATTAAATGGCTTTCGAAGCTTATAACATAAAACTGATGGTTGCTCATTGCAATGCTGAGGCCGCATCGTGGTGTGTGATTGTATTGTTTCAGATGGAAAGAAGAAGAAAAAAAATCTTAAAGTTTTCCATGAAAGCAGGGAGAAAAGTTTCCGTTCAGCCTGCTCATTGATGTCCTCATATTCTATTCAAATAATTGTTTTAATTGATCCAGAAGAATGCTTGCAAGTTACATTCCAGAAGTACAGCCTGAACTAGCACATGAAGACTATGCTTAGAATGTCTATTTTATTAATTGATGGTACATTTGCTATATCAATAATGCAATATAATTGAATAAAAGTAAAGGGAGAAATAATGAGAAACTTGAAAGGATATGTATGTGTTTATAAGGAGATGTGTCAATGGTGTATAAAATGTTTTATTTGTTTTGTTAAAATTTACAAATAACTTTCAGAAAAGAGGTTTTATGTTCTTATGTTTTATGTTTTATATGTCTTTAAAAACTAATAAAATTTGTTTAAAAATAATAATAATAATGCAGTTGTAGATTTGGAGGGTTATTAAGGACATTTGAATCCAATAGGATCTGAAAAA